ATATATATATATATATATCTGTCTTTGGGTCATACCCAGCAATGTTTCAGGGCTTACTTCTGGCTCTGCACTCATAGATTACGTTGAGTGGGCACAAGGTTGCAACGAATCGAACCCGGGTCTGTCGCATGCAAGGCAAATGCCCTACCCACTTTACTATCATGCCAGCCCCCTATATCTCTATATTCTTGTGTTCCTCTGGAAGTACGACACTTCCTTCTATTTTTCAGAGTTATCGTTTGAGGTATGTTTGTTGGGAGAAGTTTGTTTGGAGTCTATTCTGCTATGCTTACACCAAGAATTAAAGAAATAAAAGAAGATTTATAAATTTAAGGGCCCCAATAAAATTTCAAAAACTGGTAGCACTGTAGCATTGTCCTCCCTCCCATTGTTCATCAATTTGCTCGAGCAGGCACCAGTAACATCTCCATTGTGAGACTTGTTGTTACTGTTTTTGGCATATCGAATAAGCCACAGAGAGCTTGCCTGGCTCTGCCTTGCAGGTAGGATACTCTCGGTAGCTTGCTGGGCAATCTGTGAGGGATGGAGGAATCAAACCCTGGCAAATGCCCTACCCACTGTGCTATTGCTCCAGCCCAAACTGGTAGCTCAAGAAAAAATGGTTAATTTTATTAATAAACTATTATACCAGAGAATGGTGAAGAGAGTAGAGATGAAGTGAATTAGAACATCACCATGTCAGGTGATAAATTTTTCTTTTTTCTATTTTATTACTGAAGTCCCTATGTTCTACATCTAGTGTCCAAATCGTGTGACAACCCCCTTTTTTTAAAGCTCACAGATGAGGGGATTGATCCTTTATTAGCAAACCATTTGACAAAGACATATGATATTCTGTGTATGAATAAAAAAATTATGGCAGATTTTAGGACAGCTATATGCATTCAGAGCTCACTAAATAAGAGCATAGAAGAAACACAATAGCGGGGGTTTGGTGCCGCCAGCAGGTCAATCTGTACCTGTGAGGTGAGTGTATCAGCAGCCTGATGGTGCCTTCAGACTTCCAGATACCCCAAAATTGCTGCTGTGCCTTTGGCCACACCCTAAAAATTTGTGGCAAAGTTTACCGAGAAAGTAAATGGCCAAAAGTTATGTATGAGGGAGACACACCCACAAACCACCTTTGGCTCAGCTGTATAATTGGAGGCATGGCCTCTCTGGTTCCTGATCAAACTGCTTAATGGCCATGATACCAGAGACTCAGAAACAAATCTCGAAACCCAACGGCTATTGGCAGAAATATGTCCGGTCCCTGTTGTAGGTTACTGGCACTGAGAAAACCCAGGTGGGAATAGGTTCCATGCCTTGGCCTGTTCCTCCAGAGGCCACTGGATAGTCAGGTTTGGACCCTCAGTGACGAGACAGGTGGGGCCTCACGGGATGAGGGTGGAACTGGCCCTTTCCTCCCCACCCTAACGAGACCTCGAGTTGCTGCCCACGAACGGCCTTTCTGACTCCTGATCAAGCTGCGTAAGGCCATGATCCCAGAGACTCAGGAACAAATCTCGGAACCCAGCAGGTTTTGGTAGAAATCCCTCCAGATCTAATTATTAAAATTTCGGAATTTCAAAATTGTCTGGCCACTACTGCAGTCACGCGACATCATATGTTATTTTTAACCAGCAATGGCTGGAGCGATAGCACAGCGGGTAGGGCGTTCGCCTTAAAGCGGCCAACATGGCCGATCCGAGTTCGATTCCTCCGCCCCTCTCGGAGAGCCCGGCAAGCTACCGAGAGTATTCGATATGCCAGACACAGTAACAACAAAGTCTCCAATGGAGATGTTACTGGGCCCACTGGAGCAAATCGACGATCAACGGGAGGGCCTTTTTTAAATAGAAAACAAATTGTCTACTGTTGCCTTTTCAGCAGATCTGAGTGTTGGGGTAAAATCTCAAATAATAATGGTGGGTCTGGTGTCAAAATATTTGAATGTAATCAAACTAGAGAGAAAGTAATGTGGAAATCATCTGCCCCACAGGTAGGAGGGTGTGAGATGGGGGTATACTGGGATTTTTGGTGGTGGAGAATGGGCACTGGTGAAGGTATGGGTGTTTCTTTGTATGACTGAGACTTAAACCCTAAAGCTTTGTAACTGCTCTCAAGGTGATTCAATAAATAAAATTATAAAAAATGAAAAATAAAAAAAAAGAAGAAACACAATAGCAATTCACAAATGTCTAATCCTTGACATATCTCTTCTTTTTTGTGTTTATTTTCTTTTGTTTGTTTGTTTGTTTTGGGCCACACCTATAGGTGCTCTGAACTCCTAGCTCTGCACTTAGGGATTATTCCTGCCAATGCTGTGGGACAATATGGGGCTCCAGGGACCAAACATCTGCAAGGCAAGAACCCTACCCATTGTACTCTCACTCCAGCCCCACCTCATCTCTTCTTTAGTCAACATTTCTATCAACAACCACAATGATGCAGTTTATAAAATTTAGAGACAATTTTATAAAATGATTTTTAAAGATGATTTAGAAAAAATATATGTGTATATATATATTTGTGTGTGTCTCTGTGTATGTATCATCATCATCATCATCCTGTTATTCGTCGATTGCCTCGAGCAGGCCCCAGTAACGTCTCTTTCATCCTAGCCCTGAGATTATATTCAAGGCTCTTTAGGAAAATGAGACCCATCATTGTTACTGGTATTTGGCATATTTGGTACGCCACGGGGAGTTTGCCAGACTCTGCCCTGTGGGCAGGCTACATTCGATAGCCTGCAAATTTGTCCAAAGTAGGAATGAGATAATAAGATGTCATAAAAAGATGTCCCCATAAGACGTTGCGCGGCTGCGAATGCGACCGCGCGGTTCTGGGAGCTGGATTTTATAGTCTCTGAGTCTTGGCTGTTGATGGGATTACTCGGCGCCAGGGGGCCAGGTGGTGGGTGTGACCCCCGCCTACTGGGATTTGGAGGATCTGGGTGGAAGATGCTCGACTCCAGTCCGAGTAGGCTTGGAGATCTCGGCCCCGGAACCCGCGTGGCTTTGTCCCTCTGTCAGTACCTTCATGTGTGCGGAGAGTGGTCTCAGTATGGTGGTGGCTGGTCCTGGAGGTCTTTGGCTGCTGGAGCCCTGGTCGGGGTGGGGAGGGAAGCTCAACCCGCTCCCCTCCAAGGGGCCTCGGTGAGGAACAGCCAGGCGCGGGGGCAGAAGACTGCACTGTTCTCGTCCGGGAGCTGGATTTTATAGTCTCTGAGTCTTGGCCGTTGATGGGATTACACAGCGCCAGGGGGCCAGGTGGTGGGTGTGACCCCCGCCTACTGGGATACACACACTTTAAAGTGTGTGTATGTATACACACACTTTAAAGTTGGGACTATATGAATACAAGAATAACTACAAATTTATCAAGAAAGAAACAAAAATATCACACACTTAGGTCTTTAAAATGAACTCAATGGACAACGAAAAACACTTTCTTCTGTTTATTTTGAAAGTTTGTGTAAGTAAAATGCATGGTTGATAGTTAATTGATACCTTCTGAATCAACAGAATCCCGTGAGTTATTTTTTTGAATGTTATCATAGGCTGTGTTATTAAAATATTTATATCAAATGTCAGAAAACTTTACTTACACAGTTTTTGAGAGCAAATATTTACTGATTTTCAGGAAATAAGTAGGTGGTTTGTTACGAGTACTTAAATTTGATACTACAGTGTAAAAATCATCAGAGAAAATGCAGAAAAGAGTAAGTGTGACTGTGTTTCGATTAATATTGATGGACACAAATTAAAATCTCACCTGTTAGAATTTCAAAATAGAATTTCACCTATCATGGAATATTCTTTTGGTTAACAAAAGGAGACCAACCACTCTTTGACCAGGAGACCAAAGAGTGATTAGAGCAAACACCAAGCATGCACTAGACCTGAATTCCTGAGCACTGCTTGGAAGGACCAAGGAATAAAATATAAAACATAAAACATGTTTAGTACTCATCCTTCTCAAAGAAAAATAAAATAAAGGCCATTTTCAGTTTATTGGTCACAAATACACGGATGTCAAGTGAATTAGGCTGGGGGTGGAAGGGGATGGTGGCTGACCCATGAAGATTGAAAAATGTTTTTTTGTCTGTTTATTTTGTCTATGAGCCATACCTGGTGGTGCTCAGGGCTTACTCCTGGCTTTGCTCTCAAGAATCACTTCTGAGGGTGCCCAGGGGATCATATGGGATGCTGAGGATCAAATTCAATCAGTCAAGTGTAAGGAAAGTACCCTAACTGCTGTACCATCAGTTTGGCCCCAGACTGAAAAAATATTCTAAGGGCTATCGAGTGAATAAGAAAGATTGGGCCCGAGAGATAGTATAGAGGGTAGTGTTTGATCAGGGTTCAATTCCCAGCATCCCACATGGCCTCCCAAGCACCACTAGGAGCAATTCCTGAGTGCAGAGCAAGAAGTAACCCTTGAGGCTGCCTGGTGTGGTGTCAAATCAAAACAAACAAAAATACAAACAAACAAAAAGAAAGGCGCGTTATCTGTACTGCTTAACAGATCAGCAATCATGGTCAGGTCCTCCAGATGTTCATTGATTTGTTCGAGTGGGCCCAGTAACGTAACCATCATGAGACTTGTTGTTACTGTGTTTGGCATACTGAATGCGTCATGGCTAGCTTGCCAGGCTTTGACGTGCGAGCGAGATACTCTCAGTAGCTTGCTGGGCTCTCCGAGAGGGGCAGAGGAATCAAACCTGGCTCGGTAGGGCCGTCTGTGCGCAAGGCAAACGCCCTACTGCTGTGCTATCGCCCCAGCCTAGATCATCAATAAAGAGAGGAAGTTATAGGGAGAACAATTTATCACAGCATGAAGTCTTTCATATCAAACCAAGCATCCCCATCCTCAGATGGTTTCTTTGGAAGTTGTTGTGTGATATTTTAAGAATCTAATTTATGGAATTACCCACAGTGAATAGGAGGAAGCAATTGGTGAGAAATAAAAAAAATATTTATGAAATAAAATCTAACCTTCAAAAATCCTTAGAACTTCTTGATTAATATACTTCTTTATTTCTTCAAATGAAACTGCATCAGCCTAAAGAATAAAATAATCATGTTTAAAAAGGAGTCCAGGTGAATAAAAAAAAATAGAAATACCGGGTTGGTGTGCATACTAGAAACTTCTATAGAGTTTTGTACGTCAAGCTAAATGTTCTTAGAAATGCACTATATTAAGCAGTAAATACCTTTTGTTTTGATAAACACTGTAGCACTGTCCTCCCATTGTTCATCGATTTTCTCGAGCGGGCCCAGTAACGTCTTCATCGTGAGACTTTGTTGTTACCGTGTTTGGTATATCGAATACATCACGGGTAGCTTGCTAGGCTTTGTGGGCGAGATACTCTCGGTAGCTTGCCAGGCTCTCCGAGAGCGGCGGAGGAATCAAACTCGGGTTGGCCAGGTAGGCCTCATGCAAGGCAAACGCCCTACCCACTGTGCTATCGCTCCAGCTCCACTGTCACTGTCATTGTCCTCTTGTTGTTCATTGATTTGCTCGAGTGGGCCCAGTAACATTGTGAGACTTGTTACTGTGTTTGGCATATCGAATATGTCACGGGTAGCTTGCCAGGCTTTGCTGTGTGGGTGAGATACTCTTGGTAGCTTGCCGGGTACTCCAAGATGGGCGGAGGAATTGAACCCCGGGTCGGTCGGGTTGGCTGCATGCAAGCAAACACCCTACCGGCTGTGCTATCACTCCAGTCCATTAAAATGCCATATATTAATATTTTGTTTTTAACTGTATGGGATAAACTTAATGTAATGTCTACCAATTATTGCTATAGCACTGAAAGCTCACTCTGCTGGCTAGGAAGGTGCAATTTGGTCCTGTCAGGTATTATCTGATTTTCTCAAGAAAGTATGTTCTTAAGACTCTAGACTCACTGTAGGACTCTCCTTCCTTTCTTCCTAACATGGATATTTTCATATTAAATTTATCTGGGGAATAAACATTTACCATGAAGATTTTATTAAAGACAAGGTTTTCCTTATCCAAATGGCCCACTTTAAAGTACTAGTCTGGCCAGATTTGTTTTTATGATAGCTAACTGGATGAAGTCTTACAGAAGTGTTTTCCAAGTAGTATAAAGAAACATTACTGCTAGTATTTAAGCATAAGACTTAAGAACAAGACTTTGGAGTCAGTCAGGCATCCCGAGTATCTCAGACATCAATCAAGTTAGTCTGTTTCTGTATTTGTAAAAGTTGAATAGAAAGGGAATCTATCATCATGAATAAGTTAGGAAGATCCAAAGCAGTACGTAGTGCTAAGTGCTTGGCAGAGGATCTGGTTGGAGGGTCAAAGGAGTTTAAAGTAAATGACAACTATTGCTTATATCACAGACACCAGTTTTAGTTCATTTTGTTTATCTAGAAAACATTATGATACCTTCACTACAAAAGCGACACATGTCTATTTGTCAGAGGGGCTACTACTCACCGGCATGCCAGGGACTCCTGGGTGGCCTGGAGGACCTTGGTGTCCGGGGGATCCCACTGAGCCTTTGTTTCCTGGTGGCCCCATAGGGCCTATGGCCCCCTTTATTCCTGGGAGGCCTGGTTTTCCCCTTTCACCTTGTGAGCCTCTGTCTCCTGGAATTCCCTGATCACCCTGTTAAGAAAAATTAACGATTAAAAAATGTTCTCTTCTAGAATCAAACATGATGAAGTGCAAAGGTTCTGAGCTTAGACTGTCACACTTATGAACTGTGAGGCCTTGAATAAGTGATTGAAATTTGGTGCTTTAACTTCTTCTCCTCCCAATAAGGCGATTAATATCCACAAAGTGGGGTGATGCCTAGAAAAAAATGAATGAATGCAAAGAAAATGCTTAGAACCATGTCTAGAATACTGAAAGTGTGCAATAAAAAAAGTTAGTTACAAAAGTTGGTGTATTTGGTTTGTAGTGTAGAATGTTTACATGAAATACAATGAAATGACACACAGAGGAGGTCCTAGACTTCATTAATTATTCTCTTATTTGTGACTACTATGAAAATAGTTCTATTTCTGTTGACTTAAAAAATAATGAAGACAAACAAATAATTACAAAGAGCTACTGTTTGTATTATATCATTGCATACAAGTACGTGGACCTAACTCATTCAGAGAAACATCTGAGATAAATATAAAACAACAAAAACAAAAGTCAAGACCAGGGATGTGGCTCTCTCTCTTTCTCTCTCTCTCAGGCACACACACACACACACACACACACACACACAAACACACACACACTCACTCACACACACAAAATGCTAGCATGTTTTGACTAATACTCTGATCATGTAAAAAAATTAGCACACATTAACACACTAAAACTTAAACTTTTTGTAATTTAAGTACAAGTATGTGACGTTTCTTGTGAAAATGGGAAGTGCTTAAATATCAGAATGAATATTATGTAAGTGAAAAAGATTTATCTACACTGTGGAATATTTCATTTTTATTAAAGAGCCTGCAGACAGTGCAGCAGTTAGCACACATTCTAAGGCAGCATCTGACATGGGTTCAATCCCCAGCACCCCATGGTCCCTTGAACATAGACAGGTACAGCAATGGAGTCCCCCATCATTGCTGAGTGTGGCCATTCAGGCTGCAGAGCACTTCTCGGGTGTCTTAAGTCATCCATGGCACTGCAGGGCCCAAGCAGCACCTCAGGCCTTGCACTGAATTGCTGACGCAGTTGGTTGAGAAATGCCATTGGGACCCAGGCTTCCTGGGCACGACTTGGGAGGATTCCTATGGCTTCTCAGAAAAAGGCAAATGCATTAACTATGTTTACTGATATAGATGGATTATAATAATGTTAATAAGTAAAATATTAGTTTACAAAACAGCATAAAACCATTTAAAAATATATATATTGAGGGGGCTGGAGTGATAGCACAGTGGGTAGGGCGTTTGCCTTACATGCAGCCGACCTGGGTTCAATTCCCAGCTTCCCATATGGTTCCCCAAGCACTGCCAGGAGTAATTCCTGAGTGTATGAGCCAGGAGTAACCTCTGTGCATTTCCGGGTGTGATTCAAAAAGAAAAAGAAAACAACATTTTATATATATGTTGGGTTTTTTTTCACATTTTTTTTTTCTTTTTGAGTCACATCTGGCAATGCACAGAGGTTACTCCTGGCTCATACACTTGGGAGGATTCCTATGGCTTTATATATATGTATATATATATATATATATATATATATATATATAGAGAGAGAGAGAGAGAGAGAGAGAGAGAGTTGTAGCATTGTAGCACTATCCTCCCGTTGTTCATTGATTTGCTTGAGCGGGCATCAGTAACATCGTACAAAAAACTGTGAGACTTGTTACTGTCTTTGGCATATCGAATACGTCACAGGTAGCTTGCCAGGCTCTTCCAAGCAGGTGAGATACTCTCGATAGCTTACCAAGCTCTTTGAAAGAGGCGGAGGAATTGAACCTGGGTCGGCCATGTGCAAGGTAAACGCCCTACCCACTGTGCTATCGCTCCAGCCCATATATAGAGTTATATATACTTAATGTATATGCAATATATATGTGTATATTAAGCCTAAGGAGTGAAAGAAATATGTTCAAAATATCAATGAATGGTTTTCTTTGTTATCAAGTAAAATAGATTTTTTATTTTAATTTATTATTTTTCTTTATTCTAATTTATCATTATTCCTATTCTCATATTTGCTTTGCCTATCATGAATTTGAGTACAGTAACAAATGAAAACTAGCAAACTATATATTGCCAATATGTAAACATCCTTGTATATACCATGTACACCTTATATACCATTGTATACCATATATACCTTCATATACTAATAGGCCTTACTAGAATTGCCCTGAGTTTGACTTACTAGAATTTCACTAAAACTCAAGTTTCACAGGCTTGAGCAATCTGTCATAATAAAATGACTTCTCCAAGAACATTTTAAGATTCATTAAGAAAAATTATGGGAGTTACAGTAAAAGGGTGCCCATAACTAAACAAATCAAATAAAAGCATACATATAAAACCAGAATTATTAGTAACTTTAACTTTGTTTTGTATTCATTCTCCTTTTCTTTTCTCTAGCTGCTTACATGATCCCTTTTACTCAACTTAATATTCCACTGAGTCAGGTATTAGCAAGCAGTTGTTCCCTGGGAAGCATTTGAAGATGTCTGGACACTGCTTTCATTGTTACAGTTGGGGAAAGACCGGTGCTCCAGCACCTAGAGGATATCTTCCAGGGATACTGCTAATCAGTCTGTCATGCAGGACTGGCACCTACATCAGAGAACTATCTCCCCAAATATCAACAGCGCTGGGGTGGAGAAGCCCACCAAAGCTGAAGAAAAACACGGATGATGGTTACAGCAGCAATGTGTCTACAAAAGGACAAATATGTAGGGTCACCTGTTACATGACTTGTTACCAGGTCCTTTAACTTTTATATTTTGCACCTTGTGACACTCTTGCAACACATACACCTCACACACAACCTAACCTTTTCATACTGAGATTTGTAGTGCTTTCCACACATAACTGGGTGATTAAATGATGACATAGCTGTAACAGATGGACTGAAACTAGGATCACAATAGAACTATACATACACGTTCTCCTTTGGGGCCTCTGTCTCCAGGCTTACCCAGGATACCCTGAAAAACAGATGAAAATAATGAAATGTTTGCTCCTCAGGTTCATTCATTACTCGGTTTAATCGGGTCTTCTGGAAGCAGTTTTGCAAAAGAGTATTTTTAAATGATATTTTCTATACCTGAGCACCTGGTAATCCATCTTTTCCATTTATTCCCTAGAAAGACAAAAAATGATTACATTTTCTAATTCTGCATTAACAGACATCATTAAACACAACAAAAGGTAAAGTTTTAAGAATTTAATCACATTTCTACTGAGCTTTTGGTGAGGCAGAGGGGGTTAACAAAAACTAAACTAGAATTAGAGAGCCCTCACTTCAAATTCTGACTATCAAAAATTTCATTTACTTCAGGTGATTTACTTAACTTTCATAAAATTGGCTTCTTCACATATATATTGAGAAAAAATAATGGTCCTAAAACTAAGAATTTATCAAAATAAGAGAAAAAAATGCCTATGTCTTTGTAAATAGTCAAAGGGTTATTTCCTTTACTTATTCCATTAGGTACTTTCTGAGCAATAATAAAGTGCCCCCAGGAGCTTGGTGGTGGGTGCGTGGCATTTATTGTTACCTTCTAAAACGTTTTCCAGCATAGAGACTCATTCTCAGCAAATGGTCTCAGTTGCTGCTGGGGAAATTTCATAACATGGCCGGAACATGATCCTACTATGAAATAAACTGTCAGCTAGAGAACAATTGTTATTTTTGCAGTTGAAAATACAAAAGGATAGGAGAAAAAAATCTGTAATCATAGTTTTTGAGAGTATTAAACAGTAGCTTTTTATTAGAAAACTGGAAGTTTCTTAAACTTTACAAGGCAGTTCTGGAGTTGGTAATAAAGCCCAGTCCGGCCCAGAGATTTATAACTCTGGGAGAACTATTGGCTGAGAGATGTAAGAAGGAAAAGCACTTGGGGTCAAATCAAATACCTAGGAGTCCAACAGCAGATGTGTTTAGATGTGTTTTTGAGATTTGATTTGAAGAGGGAGCTCAAGGTGAGGGAAATGATTTCTTAGCTAGCAGGCAATTGCATGGACACACTCCCTGCAAAGCCTAGGAGACTTATATTGCTCTGGGACGGATGCTGAGAGGATAGAACTGCAGACAACTGCATGTTTTCCCTGCTATAAATTACACTAAAATCTGTCACAGTCGATAACCCAAGCAAAGTCTCCAAACCTCTGTGAAACATCCTGGGAATTATCTAGAGTACTTTAACTAAGAATATTACCTGAAATGTATGGTTCAAAGAATTTATTATATCCAGACACACAAAAAACAAAGATAAAGCTGATTAAGGGGAGACTGTGAGAGAACATTCATGTCACTTGAATAAAAGAAGATAAATCTACTGTAAAAATACAATCCATGTTCTGGTAGAAATAGAATAAAGGAAATCGCCCTATAATCCTCATCCTATATTTTGGTCTCTTGAAATTCATCTAGACAATCAATATGTGTTCTCTTTTCTCTCTGAGGCATTACTAACTTGCTTTCCATAGGACAGTTCTGCTTTTAGAGATTTTTATAACAATCTATATGTATTTCCCTCCTGAATGTCTCATTTCCTTTACTGTAAAACTCATTCCTAAGGTATAATCAACTTTCTATCTATCATATGTCTGTGTTGAAATAGCTAACTGGGTGTTGGAAAAACCAAACAAATGAGTATTCTTGCACACTTGCTTCAATCTAAATATTAAACTGTGGAACACAACCAGTCCCTCTGCATTAACTGGACATTCTTCTTTAGTCCCTGATCAGGCTCCCTTTCCTATTCCCCAACAGTACTCTTTTCCATAATTTCCTTTCTCTTCAGACTACTTATATCACTATCTTATTCCTGTGTTCAGATAATGAACACATTATCTAATAATTCAATTCTTCATTTACTGAGACAATGGGCTGGAGCAACAGCACAGCAGGTGGGGCATTTGCCTTGCATGCGGCTGGCCTGAGTTCGATTCCTCCGTCCCTCTCGGAGAGCCTGGCAAGCTACCAAGAGTATCCCATCTGCATGGCAGAGCCTGGCAAACTCCCTGTGGTGTATTTGATATCCAAAAAACAGTAACAACAAGTCTCACAATGGAGACATTACTGGTGCCCACTCGAGCAAATAGATTAACAACAGGAGGACAGTGCCACAGTGCTACTGAGACAATAGAGAATTGCTTCACTATCTTTGCACCAGACTGTCTCCCCCACCCTCGCAACCTCTATGCACTTGTGCGCTGACTTACCCTCCTTTCTCTTAATGATTCTACCCTATACCTTATTAAGATCCACATCTCTTATGATTGCAATCCTAGTTTTCTCCCCAACTCATTATCATCTTTTTTTGTACCATCAAATTTCCCTAGCAACTGAACCATTCTTATCAAATCACTAACAGCTATAATCTTTTTTTCATCCATGGCCTCCACATTTCTAAAACAGAAACCCAGTAGAGAATTATTAGCTCTCAAGTTGTATGTATCTAAGTAGGCTATTAATCCCAATAAGATATACATTTATTAATCCCAATAAGATATACATTTATATCTATATTATACACACATACACACATATACTTAGTTCCTTTGACATCCAGGAAATCTAAAATTTTCTCTTTTTCTTCATTTCTCTTTAGCTCTAATGTCTTTTTGCTAGGTCTTCTTCATAATATTTACAGTTCTTGTTTCCCTTCCCTATCCACAGGGATTCTATTTCATCCAGGCTCAATAGGTCTCACCAGTCCTGACTTTGCCAGTGCACATAATTCCACTTGCATCCACAGCTTGTTTGGCACTTCCTCTTAAATATTTACTGGTTATTCAACACGAGTATGCCCCAAACGAAATTACTTGGTTTTCCTTCTCAAACTCATTATCTCCAGTCTTTTACGCTTCACCAATGCACCACTCTCACCTTGTGTTCAGACTCTAAATTATAGGTTGGATTTGTCTTCTTCACATGCCACATGTTGTCTGTCAGCAATTCATCAGCTGCATTTCCTTTCAATGTACATCCTGAATTACCCTACACTTTATGATGTAACTCTTCCTACCACTACTATTTCTCAAGAGAATTATGGCAATAATTTGCCACTGTTCTCTATCCACCCAGCTTCCTACTGTCTTATCTTTAGACACTAATCAGAGTGACACTTAAGATGCTGTCTAATCATTTTCCTTCTCTGTTTGAAACATTCAAGTGGTTTGTCCATCATACTTGAAATTAAATACAAACTCTAATCACAGCTTAGCAGTTCTTTATAAGCTGACCACAACCTTCACCTCACTTGATATCAATCCCATTCTTCTTCAGCTTCATTCATTTTTTACTTAATTTTATCTTTTAGAGATCTGTCAGCTCCCCAGACATAGCCCTCTACCAGCCATTTTTTTCCTTGAAACAATATCTCTTGCCCACAATCTCCCCAAGGCACGATTTCTTATTTCATGTATGTTTTTTCTAACATGATCCTTTGCAAATCTAATGAAATGATATTCTAACACTTTACTATGCTTAGATCATCTTCTACCTGAAATTTTGTGTGAGTATGAATTTGCTTGTCATTTGAGTCCCGGTAGTAGAATGAAAACCCTACAAGTTGCTGGCAATCAAAAGAGCACATACCATACCGCAGATGCTCGAGAAAAATCTGTTGAACGAACATAATGATTTTTGCCTAACTCCCAGGAACCCAATGGAAGTATTTTAATCGATGGCTTACAGAATATGTGAATGGGGATACGTAAAAGGAGATGAAGGGGGAACAAGGGATTAAAACTATCATGCACCCTTTTTTGTCAAGCAGCTGCAAATGCAGACCATGTCAAATTCCTTAAGTGATTTGCAATTCCTTTGAGTCATAATTCAAACTAAGATCTTCCTGACTGTAAATTATCAATGTTTCTCATTTTTATGTTGCACTCTCACTGGATATGATAACCAGAAAGTACAAGTACAACTCCTCAGTATTCCTGAAGAGTTCAGGAATACTGAGGCAGCCTCTTGAGTTCTATGTGGTTTGTATACCTTCAATTTCCCCCTTTTCTAATAGAACCTGCTTTTCTTATGGATCCAAAGCAATAAACAAGTTAAGGGAGCAGGGTTCTTCTATAAACAAACAGCAAACCGAGGCGTGGGGTATGTCATTTCATGGTTATATTACCTCACATTGTTAGCAAACAGCATGGAATCAGGTGAAAATATGTTGAACTGAACTGAACTGAACTGAACTGAACTGAATTGAACTGTATTGAATTGAACTGAATTAATAGGAATGATTCCTGTAATGTCAGCAATATTATAGATATCAGTAGTTGGGAGCTCCTTTAGGCCACAAGGGACATAAAAGAGTAAGAAGAAAGCCAATAGATAAAAGAGGGAATCTGAGAAAATAGAATGTAGTATTTAGCTTAACATACAGGTGCTATTATCTGTGAGTCTTTGGTTTCTTTTTATTTTAGGACATGACAGGCCATTTTATTTTTTAATTCCCCTGAGGTTCTTAGGTTTGGGAAATAATGATTCTAATTTTCTGACACTTAAAACGAAATCTCAGCCCCCTTACTATTGTTTGAGACATAAAGGAACCTCACAGTGAGAGGACTCTCAGTGAGACCCACACTTCAAAAAACCCATTTGTGAAACCTGCTCTTACTTCCTTGGAAACCACTTATTCAAATCTCTGATTTTCTAAGGAGATAAGTGAAGCAGCAATGCTTAGAAAATTTCTCAAACTGGATAAATTTAAACAGTGAAAAGTACTTACTGGTTTTCCAGAGGGTCCTTCTGGCCCAGGGAAGCCTATGTCTCCAACAGGTCCTCTCTCGCCCTGCAGATATGACCACAGGCAAAAATGAATTGTCAAGAGAACTTAAAAAGTGTATGCAAAGTACAGGGCCACGGTTAAGTAAACAACTCACTGGTTCCCCTGGAGGTCCTGGTGGTCCTGGGGCTCCTGGCTTCCCCTGGGGAGTCAAATCAGAGAACAGCGTTAGCAGCCAAATGGTACCTTTCCCTCCCATCAATGAGTTCACTGTGCCACAGCACTGTAGCTCTCCACACTGAAACCCTGTTCCTAAAGGAGAGGGTCTGAGAGATCCATGTTTGGCACTCCAGTCTGTGAGGAACAGGCTGAGATGCAGCTTTCTGAGTGCACACATGAGTCTGATGGAAAGAATGCATGCAGAGGATAATGATTTTGATAATATTGAATTAATGGGAATGGTTACTACTCAAGATCTCATGTGTGCTTGTTTAGTAGTTACCAAAAGCATAGCTTTAACTATCTTCCTGTGCTATTCACAAAGGACATTGCTCTGAATTAACTATGCAAAGGACTTAAGGAGAAGAGAAAAGCAATACTTACAAGTTAACAGAGCACAAAGAAAGAAGTTACAAATAAACACAGAGGAATGGGAACACTATGATGGGAGTAACCCGATAGATTTAAGCTCCCTATGGCAAGGCAGAAAGGACAAACCAATGTTATTCTACAGGTGTGGTAGAGACAGGAAGTGGAGAAGCATGTGTCAGCATTTGGACCACACCTGAAGAGGTTCTATTGAGAAGGAGCTGCCTCCTATCCCTTGGATATTACGGTTGGGAAAGAAAAATAACATGGCATGTAAGTGATATCACAGAAACCCCAGTAGGTTGCTAGGGAAGAAAACAGTGACATTTTTTCCTATTCAGAATTCTATTCAGATCACCTTACAAGCACAGTTGAGTAAACAGTGGGGGCTGAGAAAGCACAGCTAGCCTCTCAGCTGTGCACAAGAAGAATTCCTGAATTTCCTATGGGCCCGAATCAAAGAGATGTGTTAGAGCTAAGAAAGGCAATGACTAAAACGGTCTTATTGTGAGACATCAGAGATACAAAGTGGAGAGATATTCAAGATTTGATATAAGTGTTGCAGGGACATTAGCTAGTAGGCAGAAGTAACCTCAAAGGTCAGGTAGAACTCAGAAAACCCGGGATAAAGGATGCTGACCACTCCACAGCACTTACAGATACTTCCTCCTGCATATTGGCATATACATACTGGGAAAGAAGAGAAGAAACTTTGGAGGAATTCCTGCATGGTCCTGAAATACATTTGGAAGAGGAAGCCTGGTCTATTCCAGGGAGAGAACAATTGGGTCCCTTGCTGTTCAGTAGAGTAACCATGATGTGACCAACTAGGATTGCTACAATCAGTGCCAAAACTTTTATTTACTGAAGTATTGAAGTATATGTATAAGAAGTATATAAAAAAGAATGGAAACAACCAGATTTGGCAAAGACATGATGAAAAAGGAATTCTCACAGTCAGTGTTGGTAGAAATGATGTCTGGTTTAGCCTCTATGGAAAACATATGGAGACTCATAAAAAACAAAGAATAGAGCTTCCATATGAACCCAAAGATTCCACTTCTCAGCATCTACCTACCAAATGAAAACAAATTAATTTGAAAAGATAAATGCATACCTATGTTCACTGCGATGCTAAGTGTAATAGCCAGGTATGGAAATGATCCTCATGTCCAATGACAGATGAATGGATAAAGAAGTTATGGTTTATACACAAAGGGATACTATGCAGATGTAAGAAAAGATGAAACACTGCTGTTTTCTAGAACGTGAATTATCATTGGGAAGTATCACGTTATACAAATAAGACATGGGAAGAAAGACAAATACTGGATTATCTCACTATCTGTAGTATACAGAAAGATAAAGAACAAAGTATACAGTGTTAAATTATGGCAAACCATTTTCCTTGGATTATAAACTCAGACTAACAAACAGTGGGAATAGGAAATAGGAATATATGAAGAGGTAATTAGAGGACAGGGCTGGAGGGTCTTGGGCTTTTTATTGGTGATGAAATGCAATAACTGTACAATGAAACCATAGACAGCATTATTTTAAGAAATAGGTGTTAGTTACATTAAGACCCCTACATATTAACTAATTTTGAGGTATGTAATTAAGTGATACTAAATAGATACACTTGATTTTCGCTATACCAATGGTACAGTTGTGTGTCCTCAAAACTATTTCCAAAGTCTTTACTTTTATTTTTTGGATGACATCTGATGATGCCCAGAAATCACTCCTGGCAGGAGTGGGGGACCATATGGGGTACCGGGTATCAAACATAGGCTGTCTGCATTTAAGGCAAGTACCCTACCATCTGAACTATCTTTCTGGCCCCCTATTTCCAAAATTTTAAAACTATTTTGTATTATAAGCCATAGTAAGGTCCAATTATAAGAAATAGTTATATTTTTAAAATAGTGGCTCCCAGCAGGACTTCTATTTAGGGTGCATGAAAAGGTTTTTGGGCCACATCTGGTGGTACATAGAACTTACTTCTATTTATGTGCTCAGGGAACACTCTTGGCAGTGATCTGGGTCCAAATGCAGAGCAGGGGATCAAACTAGAGTTGACTATGTGCAAGGCTCCATCCTTAACCCTGTACTCTCTCTCTCTGGTCCTAGGGCTGCTATTTTTTTCTAGAGACTTCCAGCAGAATTTAGAGGACCCAAGGCCAGTCCTGGGAATGCTCAGCTTAGCTTCACTGGCCTCTAGATTCCAAGACTCTTTTTGCAGTTTTCCTTGGACCATATGATCTCAGGGCACCCCTTGCAGCAGCAGGGATTAAATTCAAGTCTTCACACATGCAAAACATGTGCTCATTCACTTGAGGTATCCCTCCTAGTCTAAACGCTTACTAAAGAATGTAGTTGCATTTTTATATCATTGTCATATTTAATGTGATATAGAACAGGGGGTTGTTATCCTCTATATTGGATATTTTCTAGGAATATGGATGGGATTCAGGTAGCAGTGGGTTATATTTAGCAATGAAATAGCAACTTCTGGCCTTTTAAGAGATGGAGTGGTTGTAGGTGGATTTGGGAAGCATTAGGGTATTAGCAGATGTCAGTGGGTGGTGGCAGTAGGTCTTATCTTTCACGTGTTTCTGATTTAAGCACAGGGTTCTCAATGACTTTTGTTCCCTGGACCTACCCTGCAGGGGCACCTACCAAAAGGATAAATAACCTTTTATTATAAAGCATGACCACAAGATTTTAATTAGAGTATCATGAATGAAGATCAGAATGGTCCCGAGGGCTCACAGAAATGATTTCAACCTTTCCTGGAGCACTTCCTATTCATTTGAAAAGACCTTGATGAGATTAAAACAGTTGACACTAGAGAGCAACAAAAATGATTGAGAGGATTGAAGGGCTAGTTTACGAGGAAACATTAACGGCAATAAAAGCTCCGCTATTAAAATAGGGCCGAGGGAAAACTCAAGACAGATTGCAATTTAATACAAAGAACTTGAAGTACATGCTGGAGGATGAGAACTTAGCTTTCTGAGGCTCAAGAAACCTTGAAATACAACAAGAATAGAGAAACAATGCAAGATCCCCAAAGTATATTTTTGAATTATCTGTGAATGAATTGATGTATACTGTGTGTATCTTAATGCATCACTATTAGTAACTGGGGTCTCTTCTGTTCTCCCCCTTATCCTTAAAAGTGAACTAGAAGGAAATGAAAAATAAAAAGAACAAAGGTAAGAAAAAAAAGATGAAAATTAAAAAATGGATGTTATGCGGTTTGAGAGAGGAATGTTGCTTTACATTTGAAATTAAAGTTACAGTAAATGAATCTTTAGGAATCAAGTGTTCCCCTGCTCTTGTTACCCAGCTGCAGGCTTCTTTGGAAAACAATTGTTTGCTTCTGACACTAACTTTATTTATTTATTTATTTGTTTATTTGCTTTTTGGGTCACACCCGGCAATGCACAGGGGTTAGTCCTGGCTCTGTGCTCAGGAATTACCCCTGGCGGTGCTCAGGGGACCATATGGGATGCTGGGAATTGAACCCGTGTCGGCCACGTGCAAGGCAAGCACCCTACCCTCTGTGCTATTGCTCCAGCCCCTGACACTAACTTTAGATGATCTGGACTCACCGATATTCCAGCTGTTCCTGGGGGACCTGCTGGGCCTTGATCTCCCTGTTGAAATAAAAAAAAAAAAACACTACTAATGACCTTTAACTATAAAATCAATGACCAAATTATAACTTAAAAGAGGTAAAGTTTTCTTTGGCATTTCTAAGTGTTGCAGGTACACTGGGAAGAGCTCTGTTAAAATGCATTAGGAAACATCTCTATGTCTCCAAGCCAAACCAGCCCAAAGGCATAGAAGCCTCTGGAATGCAGGAAGCCTTCTGAGAAGGCTGAAGCCCACATCACTAAGTTTAGGAGAGGAGAGGCTCCTTCAGGAAAGAAGGCCATGCTAAGGATACCAAAGAAGGCCATTGGCTGTTTCCTGCTCTTCTCCTTGAAGGCATCTGAACAACAAATTTTTTTGAGGGCAGTTTGGAAAAAAACTTCTGAAAACTAACTTTGCAGAGGCAAAGGGACACATTTTCTCCATCTTGGAGTCAGCTGCTTCTCTGCTCAGGGTATGAATTCTTGGAGCTCTTTGCTTTGGAGGTTGTGTTCTTATGAGTAGGTAACTCTCTTTTTCTCACCTCCAATCTACCAAATAAACATATTACTTCACTGTTCTCCTTGATGCCTATTGTAACTGGTGAAATGCAAGCATCTATGCCATGTAGATTGTTGATGACTGTCATAGGGCCGCTGGCTGACTTTATCAGTCCTGATTCTTCTAGAAACCTCCCTGGTGACAGCGGTAGCTGAAGCAGGAAGACAATAGACTCCCCTCTAGGGCTACTACCTCGTTCTTCCCACTTCACTTAAATCACCTGCAGTATAAGTATTATCCATATTATCCATATCATCTGGTACATAATTTGACGGTAAATGGAAACAACTAAATCAGCATCCAACTGAATTTATTAACACTTTACTTTTGTTAAAAAATAAACAACAATCTTAATGAAAGCAAACAATCAATTCATCATTTCAATTCACATTTTGTGGGGCTTCCTCAATGACATTCCTTAGAACCATACCCAGCCAGTGCTGGGAGGGGCATGTCATTCAGTTCTGGGGGTTGAACTGGGGGTCCTGTGCATGAAAAGAACGTGCTCTAACCTCTTTTGAATTATTGCTTAAGCCCCTTATTTTTATTTTTACTTGCAACTTATATTTAATAGAAGTCTTATAGTACTTACAGCTAATCAGTATGTTTTTGTTCTATGCATTCAAAAGTAGTTCATTACTATTACTTAAAAGAGGAAACACATAGAATATCTAGTAAGCACATTGAACATCTAGAAAGTGTTTTCTATATTTGTCTTAGTAGACATAGGGTTAGACATGGAAGATATTAATATGCTAATATACAGTGGAGATTTTGTAGTCCTCATTGGACCAATCAGAATATTCCTGAATTGCCCTGAACAGTAGTGATTGAACTTTTTCAAAAGCAATGTGATATTTTAGATAAGGCTGATAATGCTAAAAATACTAATGATTATATATGGGATAATAAAATGGCAATTTTTGTTGAGTAGAAATCTACATAAAAAACTTCATTACTTCACTCAGGGTCATAAAAGAAGACCTGATTAAATGGAGAGATATGTTTTGTTCTCAGAGGGCAAGAAAATGTTGTAAAGGTGTCATTCCTACTGAAACTAATTTACAAAGTTAATGAAATTCTTGCAAAATTGCCACTTGATCAAATTATGTTAAAGATAATTTGGGACAATACATAAATTATAGTATAAAGGAAAAAATTAAAATGTGAATGAAAATAAAGTAGCAATACCAATATTTAAACAAGTAATAAAGTTACAGTTTTTGAAATAATGGAATAAGATTAAGTAACATTCTAATATAATGTAACAGAAATTTCAGGAGTAGAATAACATTTAAATGGGATTTTTGTAAATAAAGAAATATATCATGCAACAAATAGCACTACTAATTAGATAATTTTTTAAGAAAATTTATTCCTCTCATTATATCATACTTTATATAACTTATATGTTGATTATATAGAAACAAAAAACATGAACCAGAAAAAAACATAAATATCTGATTTCTGCTCAGAATGAAACAAAAGGTATTTGAACACTAAAGAAAAATAGTTTTAAATTTGCCAACATAAAAGTTTATTTAAATATACAATAACATTATACATAAGAATTAAAGGCAAAAACCATCTAGGATAGAAAATTCAACATATAAGCTAGAAGCATCATCTTTTAATGTTTAAAACGTAGCTGGTGAAAAGGAAAAATTTGGTGATACATAAATGGTGAGAGGTATAAATAGGTATTGCCAGTTTCACTCGCCTCTTTAAATTACTGGATTTTTACTTTTGAAATGAATATACTCAAACTTTTTAAGCAATGAAAACACTTGTGTATTTGATAAAAATTGATATTCAGAGATCTTTTGTCTGACAGGATGTCCCAGCCAACATTTGGATCTCTTGTTAGGAGAACTGAGAGGTCTAATGATCTGGCCTTTCAATTTTAAAGTTATATTTAACTTTATTTTATTTTATTTTATTTTATTGTCAGTAACAATAACTTCATTGTCTCCATAATTTCAGTTTCATGCATCCTAACATTCCTGCTATCTCCACTGTTGTAGTTCACTCTGTTTAACTTAAAGCCACAAAACTTGTGATGCTACCAAAACCTCTACTGCATAAATGGTATAAAGTCTTCATTTTGTGCCTCACTTTCTAGATGGTCTCTTTCCCTTATTATGTAATTTAAATTCCACGGTTATGTGTTTCACTAATAAGAATCTAAAAAAAAATAAATTCCAATGTTAGTTTGTTATCATCACTATTTGTGTATGCCTTTGATGTCTTACTCCATTATTATTTCTAATACTCACCTGTAAAAGCTGGAACTTATTTATTATAACTTCTCTTCTCTTCTGGGATTTTACCTGAGTCTATGTCGCTGGAGAAGTGTAGTCTTGCTAACTGGTGTTCTCTTAGTTCATGACTGTGAACCTCAAGGGGCCCCTGGGGTTGCCTTAGCCATCCATGACACTATTTGGTCCCTGGACTCGCCCTCTCTTTATAGCCCTACAACCTCTTTTCTTTCCCTCGCTTCCAGATCATGAACTTTTTTCTTCATCTTTAGAAATTTAAGCAATTAGAAAGGAACTGTAGATTCCAATGAATTGTTAATATGTTTCTACATATTAACATCTGAATCCCTATTCTGGTTCTCCTATCTTTAATATATATGAATTATCTAGGCTCCTTTCCAAAACCAAATGCTCCATTATGTAGCAGGATTCTACTACTTCTCTTTTAAGGAATCCTCCACTCATCTCTTAGCACATCATTACCTCTCCCCTTTCTACTGGATTATTACTCTAGTAATGTAAACAAGCACTGTGGTATTTCTATGGTCTTAAAATTCACTTTAAAACCTTACCTTACTTTCTCTAATAGTTGCTGGCTCATTGATTGCTTTCCTTTGCTGCTAAACTACTCAAACATTTGTTTATATTGCATTTTCTATCTTTAGTTCTTTTTTTGCTCTTCTATCTTAAATCCATTTAAGTGGAAACAAAAATTTCTCTGGTCAAGGTCATATTTGATGACCTTTATTGCTAAATTCAATAGTCAGTGTTGGATCACTAGATACAACACAATTGTGCTCAGTCTATTTGCAGTACTTAACATAGAAGATCAGTCCCTTCTAGAAACATTGTCTCTTCTTCTAGAAACATCTTCACTTGGTTTCCATGATATAACTTTTTCTCTTATCTTTCTGGTCACTTGGTCTCAGTCTACTTAGCTTGTTTATTTTTTATTTTCTGAGTCTCATAATGCTTGTTGGAGGGTCTCTGCACACAATCCTTGAAACACTTTTTGTTTTAAATAAATCTAGAGGAACCAGGGGGTATCTTTGTATTTGATTCCTGAGATTGCATGTGCCCCTAAGCAGTTGCAGGTGTGGTCTGGATGGACTTCAGCACCATGAGCCAAAGACTAAGCACTCATCTTTCTTGCAAAGCTGGACAGAATACTCAGCTGATCTGAACAAACATCTTTCCCACTTGTATTATGGAAATAGTTTTATAGCAATGACTTCTCTGCTTCCATCCTTGTTCTATGGCCTCAGGATTTACTTAGAAAAGTCCCTGGGTTACGTATTCTAGCAGCTTATTTACTTATTTTCTATTATATTATGAATCAAGCAGAGTCTACTGACTCTTTACATGTTTGTAAAGTCAGGTTGCAAAGCAAGATTTTGTTTTGTTTTGTCTTTATGCTTACTCTCATCCCTTTACTTGTCTTGCCACAGAACTCACAGCAATTTGTAGACAGGTACTGACCATCTACTACTCACACACTGAGCACCACTACATAACTAACTGCATGCTGGGTTCTGCCTTGCTCTACCTCTCTGACTTCTCCTTCCATCTCTCTCCCCTCATTCACTCCCCTGGTCTCCTTGGAATGTTCAGATGTTGGGAAATTCAGACCTGCTGTTTCTTTGCTTCTTTTAAAATCATTATATATTTAAGGTGTACCACTTCATGATTTTCTATACATAGTGAAATAATCTCCAACATCCAACTCTGTCACTTCACATAGTGTGCAATGATTTGTGTGTGTGTGTGTGTGTGTGTGTGTGTGTGTGTGTGTGTGATGTGTTATGGGAACACAGCAAATTTCAACCACAGAGTATAGTACTGTTACTCAAAGTTCATTACCAAGTTCTTACTAGATCTCATTTGTCTTTCTTGGAACATTCTTTCTTCAAATTTGAGATATCCTGGTTAATTCCACTCACTGCTTTAAGTTTGTGCAGATTTTGACTTCTTAGACCAACCTATTAACTATCACCAGCCTGCCCTTCAGCACTCCTGATGCTCCCTGACCCAATCTATGTTTTCTTTCCATAGCACTTATAATGCTATTTATTCATTTATTTTACATAACTGCTTCTTAGAATATAATACATGAGGGCAGAGATTTTGGTATGTTTCGTTTCTTTATGTATCTCCAAACCTAAACTGTTCCTGGTCCAAGAGTATATATTAGCAAACATTTTTTTAAATATTAAATCATTGAGTACTGAATAATTTCTAACATCCGTACCTACCTTGATACCTGGAAATCCTTCTAGTCCTGGTAAGCCCATCGCACCAGGTTCTCCCTGTTAAATATTAATATAAGAAATGCAGGAATAATGATCCAGATGTTTTTAAAACATTGGTTTTAAAAGCAAACATCAACCTCCCCCTGCCCCAACACGCACACTCCAATTACTTTCTCAAACATCAGCAATTTAGGAAATAAATGTCATTTTTATTTTCAACTTTTTGTATTCTTGCATTTAGTGTTTGGAAATAATTTGAAAATAAAGTTATTCCCCAAAGAAGTATGAGAATATTTTCTAATTATTTTCATTTTGATTAAGAATTCATTCAGGTGAATTCCTCTAGTCAGTGATAATTCCAATTTCAATAAAAATTATAAGAAAAGGCTAAACTTTATTAAAGTTTGCTCATTAGTGAGTTGCCAAGGCTTCTAGATTGCCAGAAAACAATACTATGCACTATTATTTTAGATTAAGATGGAAATCCAAAGCAAAATTAATTACTCCTTAATATTCTCTGAGCGATAGCACAGAGGGTAGAGTGTTTGCCTTGCACAAGGGCAACCCTGGTTCAATTCCTCCATCCCTCTCGGTGAGCCCGAAAATCTACTGAGGGTATCCCGCCCGCTCAGCAGAGCCTGGCAAGTTCCCTGTGATGTATTTGATATGCCAAAAACAGTAATGAGAAGTCTCATAATGGAGAAGTTACTGATGGTCGCTGGAGTAAATTGATGAATGATGGGAGGACAGTGCTACAGTGCTAATATTCCTTGTGCTGGAATGCTTCAATGGATGGCCTCAGAAGTAGCATTTTCAATGATTCTAAAAGCTATTGCTCAAATTGAGGGACCTCCGACAGGAGATAGGCAAGTGTTTTCACCAGAAGATTAGTTTATATATTTAGTATATATATACATATATATATATATATATCCTCAAAGATTACATTTTTAGAAGTTGTGGTAAAGGAAGTTTCTAACTTTGAACAAATAAACAACAGGGCTTTTAAGTCAAGGAGAAAAAATAGATAGCTGCTTGATACTTTCTTGTAATGAACTAATGTTATAATTTCAAATATTTTCTTGGAACACTGAATGTTTTTACATAAACACAGAGAAAAAGGAGCTTTCAAACCAGTTTCTGCAAGTGAATTTTTGCATGAATAATTCTACATGCTTCAAAAATAATACTGAATTCATTCATTATTATTTTTTCTAGAGTCTTTATTACTGAATATTTAATGATTGGAATAAGATCTGATGATCTGATACATTTTGTGACTCAGAAATCTTTTCTCTTTTTGGAGGGAGGGGCTGAGTCACACTTGGCAGTACTCAGTGCTTACTCCCAGCTCTGTGCTCAGAGATCACTCCTGGTGGTGCTCAGAAGACTATATGTAGTACCACGTATCAAATCTAGACCAGTTGTGTGCAATGCAAACCGTTTACCTACTGAGCTATTTCTCTAATCCCTTACAATCCCTCGCATTAATGCATATTCTTTCAACCAGAAAAAAAATGTTTGGATTCTATTCTGCGTAGTGGTTTGTAAAAGAGGTCCTGGGTTACTGATAAAGGAAATATACACTTCAATCCTTTTCGTTTATATTGTTAGTAATACTTAGGGCAGAGGAAAGTGTTCAACTAATTAATATTTGTAATTAGGTAAAATTAAATGTTTAATTAAAAGTCACTCATAAACTGAATATCAAAAGGAACAAATGCACCACCTCAGAAGAAACCAAATCCAATGGCGAATTTTTTTTTGCCTATACAGGCTTACTGAGCATATTATTAACAATGATGTAAATCTTTTTTTTTTTCTGCTTTTCGGGTCACACCTGGTGTTGTACAGGGGTTACTCCTGGCTCTGCATTCAGGAATTCCTCCTGGAGGTGTTCAGGTACCATATGGGATGCTGGGAATCAAACCAGTGTCAGCCACACCCAAGGCAAATGCCCTACCCACTGTGCTATCGCTCCAGCCCCAACAATGATGTAAATCTTGTGTTACGATATCTGAAGAATACTAGAACAGTAAAGCTCCCCATACCTACATCAAAATGACTTTTTCTCTTTCAACTACAAGACCTAAAATCCTATCACTTCTGGTTTATTTCTGTAGTATAAGATATTATTCTTCATACTGCACAACTGAGAAAGATAAAGAGATTTGTGGTGGTAATGACACAAGGCCCAAAAGAATAATTTCAAAGCCATCTTGACAATCCTGAATGTTTATGGATTACTTAATTTCATGATTTCATATTTTTCTTTGTATACTCCTCCAACTAATTTACTTCTCTACAAGTAAATTATTTTTATTATTTATTTCTTGTTGTAACTAAGAAATTTAAAAGTTATTTTCCTATAATTCTATAAAAATTATTTTATGTGACAATTTACTGCCCAAACCAAGTGAATTATAATTTATTCTTTACTTAAAAGTTATCACTTTGATTTAGAGTTGTTTATTAATTTAAGAAGCTGAAATAATTGCAGAATATTCAGTGAAAAGATTAGCTGTTTCTAAATGGTTTAGAGGGACTGTTTTATATGAGAGAAAAAAAGGAGAGCTTTCTCAATAAAAAAATGTTAAAATTGGATGAAGTATATGGTTTATAAATCAGTAGACTAAAAAATACTGCCAATAAAGAAAGGGTAGCATGGGTACTAACACAAAGGAAATGTTTCAAATGACATATTTGGGGTTCAAAATATGGTACTGATCAGTTGAAATAAAACTTTAGAGAAAAATAAATTCACTTCTTTAGCAAGAATATTCTTTTCAATATTTTTAGTATATGAAGCCACACACAGAAAATAAGATTGTAAATAAATGCTTGTTTGAAAACATTTTGACACAGGGTTATTCTATTTAGATTTTCCTTTTGCTTGTTAAAATTTATGTATTTATTTCACCAAACTGTATGATAATTAAAGAGCCTTAAATTTTCCTGAGGGCAGTGAAAAGTGCTTTGTAATTTTATTTTAGTTTCTGTGATATCTACGTTTCAAGTTTATACATAAAGTTTAAAACAATAGATGAGTGAAATATGAAGGATAAAACATATACCTGAAGAGATAATGAAAGAAAAACTTGTCAAGGAGTAAAGAGAATCTAACTGAACTTGACATAACGTGTACAGTGAAGCTCCATGGTTGAGATGCCCGAGAACAATTTTCATCCTTGGGGTGGCTGGATGACATGATCTCTTCCCATTCTGACTATGGTGCCAACATGGCCCCCTCCCTACTAATGAACAGATTCATGACAGCACATCTTATCTCCTAGAGCTCTTCTGATGCTCAAGGCAAACTAACAACCCCTTTATTTAGGTCTGGCAGACAGACTAACCATACAAATAAGAAATTTCTTTTCCAGTATTTCTCTTCTACACTGTAACTTAATGCAAACTCAATCATCCAAAGAGTGCTATCAGAGGAGGTTTCCATTTGTTCTGAGTTACATGAGCCTTCCCAGTGCAGAAAGAGACAAATGTCAAGGGCATTTGACGACATCAGCGTGGCTACATCTTAAAAATGAGGAATGCATTGCTGGCATGTCTTTGGTGGCCTGTCTGCTGCCTCCAATATGCTAAATGATGCACATCGAAGATGAATTTAAGAGCACTATCTTGGCCGGATGTTCTTTCAAGCTTTAATAATGACCTATTTTCTAAAGAGCATGAACTGTGGGAGCATACATACCACTGGACCAGGATCACCTTTTGGACCCTGTAAGGAAAACATGCAAAGTCATTTTAAAAATAATGAGTAAAATGATAAAAGATAAAGCAGTTTTGTGCAGTTTGCTTTAATATACACAATAAAATGTTTCTTTTTTTTTCTTGCTAGTTTGAATGTAAAGAATGATGTGAAGGAACATCAGTTGATAAGAATTTCTATGAAACTGACTGCTTGCATACATATTTAGTTCTTAACTTTATAATTAAAAAAGTTATTCCACTATGCAAAATGTGATTTTTATTTATTTTGGCTCTGTACATTTTCTCAATTGCATTAAAATTGGTTTTACTTATTTTCTTCTACAAAATATTTAGGTTATAATTGTAATATATATTGCTCCGAGACTTTTTTTTAGGGACTGTTCTGCTAAACTACGCATAGTAACAAACATTAATAACTTACAGGGGGGCCGGGTGGTCCTGGATAACTGGGAACATTCACACCTCCCTTTAAAAGAAAAGAGAGAGAAGTGTAGAGTATAGGATAACATTGGGTTTGTCTTTTCAGCCTTGCCGCCGGGAACTTAGTTTACCTTAAAGCAATGTCTTTTCTGTATGGACACAGGAAGACAGTTAATATTATGCTTTTTAACTAGGGAGTTGATTGACTCAAATAATATTTACTCTTGGGCATCTGCTCTCATGACTCAGGTGCCCTTAATTTTCGGGACCCTAAAAGCAGAGTCCCGAGGAGGGACTGAATGGACCCATGGCAAGCTGTGTGCTACCCTGGCATTGAAATGGGCCAGGCCAAAGTGCCACAATACTCAACTATAAGTTGAGAGCATGATCATAGAAAAATGCTGTCATGATCCAAAAGTAACGATGAGACTAGGACCCTGATGGGGTTAGGAAGACTAACCTGGCTCGAGGACTATGGTCTGGAATATATATATATATGTAAAATATATATATGTGTATATATATATATATATATATATATAATTAAGAGGTCCTCAGGAAGAACCAAACTTTAAATTGATATCTCTCTTACTGTGCTCATACAGAATGACATTGCTAGAAATATTAGAAGTAGATTTACTATTTAAGCGGATTACTAGCTGAGGAAAGAAGAAAGCGACACACCCTGGATGGGATCCCACCCTTAAGCGGATCTCCTAGTAATCCAGAGTAATCTCTTTAGATGAGATTTTATCCTTGAGTTAATCTCTTGGAGGAGTGGTCTTATCCCTCTTAGTTGATTTGGTTAATGTTCGACCCACCTTTGTGTCACCACCCTAGGTGATTGCTATATAAACTAAGACTGTGAAAGAGAGTGATCGGAGAGAGTCAGAATCCAGGGTGCAGAGTCAGAAGTGAGAGCGGGTCTGGCTCCACAGAGAGAAGCAGAATGAAGAGAGAGAGAGACAGAGAGAGAGAGACAGAGAGAGAGAGACAGAGACAGAGACAGAGACAGAGACAGAGGCAGAAGAAAGCATAGCAGCACACACAGAAGCAGAACACAAAGGAGGAGCCATCCCGATCTGGTCCATACGCAGCAGCTCAAGAGCACCAAATGAGGGTGGCAAGAGAGAGTCGTCAGGAGAGCCCGCTGATGACAACACATCATCTTTTCATCCCCTCCTCACGTTTAAGATATTTTTTACAGTGCAGAATTGATGATAATTAATAACTGGAAAATAATTTAACGAAACGACTGAATGAAATACCTGGATTTTATATAAACTGCTCATCCCATTCCTTTCACTGAATGGTATCCCCTGCGGGAGAAATGAGATATAGAATTATTCTTTTCAAGCTAACGTTTCTAACTTTTCTCTCTTTCCCAAATGCTAGTCTTCCTATTTTGATTTAGAAAGCAAGATAAATACTGTAAGTAAAATAATATGATGTTCCCTTTTTGGAATATCTGAAGTCAAAGACAGGGACAGACAGAAGGTGAAAGGAGTGTGAGCTACACATACAGCACACTAATACTTTCAGTGGGCGTGTGTGATTAATGTTCAGGTGTGACGAATGAGACACTAATGCAGTTGGAGGAAAGTATTAGTTGCTCATTAAAATTCAGTATTTGAATGGCTAATTTATGCTTATGTTCATTGTTTTTCAGCATACTTGCAGGCTATGACATGGCAGTGCTGGTGAAGATACCATTAGGAAACAATTGGCCAATGAAAGGCAATTTTTCCCTCATTGTCTTTTCATACGAAGCAGAAAGGTAAATGGAGGGAGATAATGTTATTCACAACCCTAAGTGGATCTTTTCACAAAAAAAATATTGTTTTGAACAGTAGGATACAAGAATGTCCTAATATAACTTCTCTGTGATTTGAGAGTGCCAGAAAAATTAACAGGAGGGATGGGTACTGGATCATTGTATAACTGAAACCCAAGCACGGAAGTTTGTAAGTCTACCACTGTACCTTATAGTGTTTCACTAATAAAAAGAATTAATTAAAAAGATGGATTTGGGAATTGGGGAAAGAAAAACGCATATCTTGGCATGCAAGACAAAGTTGTATACAAAATTTTAGTAGGGTTCTTTTATCCGAAAAATGTGCATTATCTCTTTTTGTGGTTTCCTCATTTGAGATGCCAAATTTAAGAAATGATCACTTTACTGATTTTGGACAATGGGGCAGCTGGCACCCAGTGAGCTTTCCTGCTTCTGCTCAGACTGTACTTTTGACAGCGCGAATGTTGTTTGTGCACATCTTCAAGATACTGGAAGAAAAATGCTTCCATTGACTTGTTTTGTTTATTACATTTTTTTTTTTTTGTGGATTAAATCCTAAAGAGATGACGGGCACATTTGCCTCAGATTTATTTCCAGGAAGGTTCCCCAGAGCCAAAAGGATTTAATTCATGACTCAATTGGTGAATGAATAGTTTTAGAGGATTCAAAGGGAAAAGGAAGATTTCTTAAGCCCATTATAAAATGCAGATTCCTTTCTTAATCTCACATTATACATGATGTTCCGTCTTCCAAGGAAAGAGCATTTTAGTATTTGAGACCCAAATACTTGAGCTCTTTGCCCTAAATCCTTGTCAGAGGATGAGATAAGTAAAAAAAGGCTTAGGAAAATAAAGTGTAAATCTTTTCATTTAAATGGCGAAAGCAAGCAGTTGTACGTGAACTTCTAACCTGTTTTCTTCTGAAAGTCACAGCCAAGTAAGGTGGCAAAGAATTTTTGTCTGGTTCTGCTGCGATTTGAGTTTAGCCCCACATGAGGGCAGACTTGCCACAGAGAGTTGGAAAGTTAAGGCTCTTCGCTACCAACGGGCTGTCAAAAGTACTGTCTGAGCAGAAGCAGGAAAGCAACAATGTCTCTTGTTCTTTTACTCCCGAGGAGCTGGATTATAGAATTTCCCTGCGTATCAAACATCATGGATAGTAGTATAAAACCGTTCTGTTTTGTTTTTTTGAGCCAGCTGGATTTCTGGAAAGGATCCCCCCATCCCCCCCAACACAGTTACAACCCTCCCCTCTCATTTTTCTTTGAATGGGGTTCATTCACGTGAAATGAATTTCCCAGGCTGCCCCAAGCAGGAAATCCAGTCCAGCTGGGGCACACACCCAGACCTCCCGAGGGCAGCGTAGGGACACATAACAGACAGAAGGTTGCAAATGCGCGCACTGTGCCTCGGGGCTGAGTTTTCCAGCCTTAGAGTTGAAAGTCTTAAACAGAGAAGTGAATTTCAGTTGGACACGTAACAACAACTTACAGGTGGGCCAGGTGGACCGGGTTGCCCAGGTGCTCCCTCGTTGCCCTGAAAGAGAGACCAGAATCAGTAGCTCAGAACCTTGCTGCCCAGGATTATTATGGTCCTGGATTGATGCTTGCTTTAGAGAACCATATTCTGAAATCAACATACATCTTTCATTACTATTTTGCAAAGTCTTATTTGGCGTGGCTCTCTGCTTCACCTGGGGAAATGGGTTTTTAGATCAGAGAAACGGTGAACGTTTGTTCTCACGCTTATTCAGAGTCTCACTGTGTTAACTCTAGGGAGGTAGCTTGTTTTCAGAGAAAGCAATGAAATCCAGCTCTTGGACTTTCCATACAATGGGTTTGCAGGGAGGAAGCTTCTAGGGAGGGGTTTTAAAGCAGTGACCTCCCAGCAGGGGACGGCTTGGCTTTTGGAACAAAGGTAGGTCCTGGGTTAGTCCTCACTTTCAGTCTTATCTGTACCACCTTCGTCTTTTTGGCCATCCACATGTGACCATAGTAGAAAATCACAATCTGTGCCTTGACAGCAGAAAGAGATACTTCTTCCACTTCCTAAGTTAATATTAGACCCTATAACCAAGTTGGGCCTCTCTCATGAACGGAAGTGACCCTGGTACAACACTGTTCAAGAAAGTATTGTATATAATTTAAACAGCCTCATTGTAGTTACAGGAGGAACTGTCTGAAAATGAAATTTGTGCAAAACAAAGTTAAGTAGAAAACTGAGAGTGGGTTTCATTTTTATTTTTATAAAGCATGGAATGCTTATTGGTCCATAATAAGCTGAGGTGTTATAGTCCCTTGGGTAACTTTAGCCAGTTCTCTGTGTAACTAATTTTTTTTTTTTGAGTAATGCCTCATGGAAAATAATTTAAAATACTCAATATCAGGGACAATGGCAAGAAATGGTTAATTAAGAAAAGGTCCAGGAGGAATAAAATTTTGAACTATCATTATAGTTGAAGTCTAAGGGATTTTTAACCCCATAAATTTGATGAAGGATTTCATTCAAATCTCTCCATATTTTAAAATAACACAAGGTATCAGGTTTTTTTCTTTTTTAAATCTATGTCCAGTGAAAAACAAGCCCTTAAATTGGACAAGAGAACTGAGATTCCAAAGTGGGAGACAGCATGTGGTGATGGGATGTGGGTCTCATGTGGTTAATACTATGCCTTAATTATGTAAATAGTTATGTTCCTACAAACCAATGTAACCTCAAAAACAATAAACTTAAAAATTTTTTGCTTGCATCTTTATCATTAAAAGTACTGCCAAATTTTTATTGTGTTATATTTGAGAAAGAGGAAGAACAGTATTTTATAACTTTTCCCAGACTGCTTTGATGGCGGCACTCTGTAAAATGGCATTTTCTGCTGAGTGCTGGCAGTGTCTTTCAGGGAATGATGTCACAGCTCTCGTAAACCAACAAAGAAGGAAATATACGTGCCTACTGAAAAGGCCTTTTTTTTTAAACTGGCACAATTGAAAGTCATATTTTCATCTCTGGTAGTACCCCAAAGCTCATCTCAATGTGGAATGCCCGTTAACTTCAAAAGGCAAATCTCTGACAGAATAATTTCCAGTGAGAACATTACGAAGGCTGGTAGGATTGGACTAGCTTCTGGGGATTCCATGAGGAAAAAAGAAAAGTGCTGAGTCTATCTTGAAGAAGCACATTGTTTCTTGTCAAATTAGGGGAGTTCGTTTGCTCCTGGAAGCCATCTTACTGGATTTTAGTCAATTTAGGCTAGAAGCTACTTTAGAGGCTGATATGGACCCTTGATTTTCATTTTTCTAGTCTTGTTGCATTTACTTGCTAACTCTGGACAAACGATTCTAAATTCGCTAAGCGAAAGAAGCCTTATAGTGGTATTGTTTGACTTCTGGATTGCTGATCCTCCCTTACCACAGCAATTCATTTGCCCCAATCAACTGGACTTCCCAGAAAACAAGCTGTTTGCTTACTTTGCAAACTGGTGAATTCCCTAAAACTATCAGAAAACAGAACTTCAAGGTTTGTTGTTTGTTGTTTGTTGTTTGTTGTTCAAATTCACTGAGAAACAGTGCATTCTTCAGTTGTCAGAATCCCAGTCCTGATAACCAGAGAGTCTTGATAACTCCACAGAGTCTTGTCATCAGTAGCTGGAACTCTCTGATGCAAGTACCATCCTGAACCTCCTCAAGAAGCAAGCTCCACTGAGTCCTTTGATAGACCCAGATGCCCAGGAACCTGAGTCTAGCCTGCACTTTTGTTATATTGCTCAAATATTTTATTCAACCCCTCCCCTCCTGAATATCTTGTATTCACACCCACGTTTTGGACCAATACTCTATTAAGTCTAGAATTGCTGTTCCAAAAAAAAAAAAGCATTCCTGCTTTCAGACTTTGTTTGGTTTTTATGAATTTCTCTGTAAATGGCCTTACTCTTTCCCAGTTTCCATTCAAACAGTCAATGGGATTTTTCCTCCATACCTTGTCACCTTTTGCTCCTGCAGGACCTGGATGTCCAGTTCTTCCCAATAAGCCCTGTGAAGCACACAACTAAGTTTATTACAGAAACAACAACTAAATGTCCAAAGGGTATTGGAAGTTCATTGCTAAAACGGATACATTTTGAAGGTCATTTGATCCTAATTAAATCAGTCCTACAAGCTTATATTTCTTCAGGCTGATACAGCAGCTGTGTCCTGCTGATAAGCCCGTGCAAGGGTAAAATTTGTATTTGTGGTCACTTTTTCACCTTGGCCAACCACATTTAATGACCTTAATTGGAACCTTTTGATACATTTAAGAATTTAGCCTTGCTGTTTAAATGGCAATTTACATAACATTACGCCTTCCTAAATGAGCTATAATTTTGGTAGTGATCAACATTTTAAATAGTTCAACAACGGGCAGACTTAACAATGCATATTGAGTTATGCAATCTGCATTTTACCAATGGAAAATAAATTTTATATTTAATTCTTTTTTTTTGAGATTAGAGTTGGTATAATTTTCATGATTCCTTCTCAACTCTTTTTAATTTAGTAACAATTTAAAAGCCAGGTTTGTTTGACATAATTGGGAGAGTAAGAATGATAAATATTCCATTATTACAAATTCATGATTTAAAACATTAAGGAACGTGACTAAGTTTCTACTTATCTGGGAAATAATATTTGCCCCTCCAAGAAGGAAGGAATTGGAGAAACAGAAAGGAGTAAGTATTGTTAGATTTAGCAAACAAAAATACAACACACTAAAACAAACTGTTAGCATGAAGTTGACATTTAACTGCATGTTCTGTAGATTAACAACAATTCTCGTCTTGAGCTCCATTCACATACAAGATAAGATTATTCTTTTTTAGGAAAACAAGATGACCAAAACCAAAAAGACCAGGGTATTGTGTTTGAGGGACAGTAAAAAAGATAAGAGTCAAACTAAAGTGGAGGACATCTGAATTCATAAATAGGAAATAATGATAAAAATAATTGGATAATCCTTGACCTATTTCCCTCTAGAAAATAAATGAGCAGTTTATGGTAATTAAGAAAGTAATGAAGTAGCCATGTGACTATGCAAAGGTTAACACCAAAATTGTAACTAAAATATAGAATGCTTTTTTACATCAAAGCTCTGTTCAAACCGACAAGGTTAATCACAAAGTGCTTTCCACTCTGGTATAATTCTGACGGCAGGTCATGACAACCCTCTGCTGCCTTACATAATAATAAAATGAAAATCGGAAATGTTGGATGAATCTACATTCTCAGTCACAGATGAAAGATCTACAGAGAGTCACAGAAAATAAAAGGCCATGAGAAAAATTAGTTTGCGTGGTGTCATTCTAGTAGATATGAACTGTTACTTAAACTGTATTTTCAAATACTTACAGGTGGCCCAGCAGGGCCTGGAGCACCTGGAATGCCTGGGATTCCTTGAAAACCCTAGAAGACAGAGTTACCATCAGAAAAATCTCCTGTCATTGGAAACAAAGCATTTTTGTTAAATCAAATACTTTCACTACTAGAAATTAAACATCTCTTTTGGCTAATTAACTATATAGGTAATATGCAAATACCCATTTTCAGAGAAAGGATGGTGTACTAAAATTCTATGATATAGAATCAGTAACAAACATAGTCTGATTTATAGAGAATTTCTGATCTCACAGAATTACCCATTAAAATACTAAGAATCCAGCAAAGCTGAAGTCTGAAAGTACAGATTTTGGATAGGCAGAATGCCATAAAAGAAATATATGCTTACACTAATGCTTCATTCAGCCTGTAGAAAAATGGAAAGTGTTTTATGATATTATATTTAGTTTAGCCAACCATTTTGTGCTAAGAAATTTGGCTCATCAGTGCTTTTAAATTTGAAAAACTTTAATGGTTGTAGTATAAAAATTAATGAATTTCCTCCCTCCATTCCCTCTTTGGATTTGTAGAATATTGCCAATGATACTGGCAATTTTATCAGCATCAGCTTAAGATGCTGATAAAATTATGTATTTAAGGAAGAATTGGAAAGATTATCTAGTAATGTGTGTGATTACTTCTATTTCTTTATCAAGCATTCCAATAACAGAAAGTTAGCAAATAGATTACATAAAATTCATCATATGAACTATTTGACAACAATTGAATCACATTTGAGCAAATTATGGACAAAAAGAAAAGTGTAAAACTACAATATAATACATAGAGTTCAAACTTTTTGGGCCAGAGTGATAGTACAGCAGAAAAGTCACTTGCCTTGCATGTGGCTGATCTGGGTTCAATACCCCATATGGTACCCTGAACACTTCCAGGAGTGATCTCTGAGCATAGAGTCAAGAATATGCTCGCACACCACTGGGTGTGACCCCTGAAAATGCCCCAAATTTAAAAATATACATGTATTTTATGAAACATGGGAATGATATCCAAAGATTGTAATGCTTATCTTAGCAACAAAGTCCTCAATTCCTTTGTCACTAGGACTCTTCAACTGCCCCATCTGTAGGTCTTACCCTCTCAACCGCAGCTCTCTGCCCACATGGCCACCCCCCCACCCTCGCCCTCATCCCATGCCCTCAATTGAGCCATACTTGGTAACCTTTATTCTACTGGTAGAGTCGAAGCGTTGTTTTCACTCACCATTTTCTATTCATTTGCTTTGTTTCTCTGTAAAGCACATATACCTGTGCTCACCCAGTGTTTATCTTTCTCTTTTGGTCTTATTTCACTTAACATGACACTCTCTACTCTATCCATGTTGTAACAAAACAAGATTTCATCTTCTATTATAGCTGAGTAGGATTCCATTGTGTATATATATGACACTAAAAAAATCCAATCATCCTTTATTGGGCTGTTTTCAGATCTTGACTACATAAATAGCGTTGTGATGAATATAGGAATCCAACATCTCTTCAACTAAATGTTTTTGTGTTTGGGAGATATATACCAAGTAGTGGAATTGCTGGAGACATTACTGGGCCCTCTTGAGCAAATAGATAAACAGTGGGAAGACAGTGACAGTGAAAGTGATGGCAATTTTATTTTTTAATTTTTGGAGGGACCTCCGAAATGATGGTTAGGAGGCCCAAAAATCCCACCAGGAATTTTCAGCCAACCTAACTGAAAGCTCCGTGGAAGAGCCTGAGGATGTGGTGCTGCTCAGGCCCCATAAAGCCAGGGATGACACGAACCAGCCTCGCAGTGCATGGGGGTCTTCAGGATTGCATCTCGCCATACTTGGGGTATCATGTCGTGCAGAGGATTAAACCTTAGAACTCTGCACTATCAACTGGTCCCTATTTTTTAATTTTTAGACACATCTTTGTACTTATTTTTTGATAGACACTAAACTGGTTTAAATTCTCACCAACTAGCACTATTTCCAATCTTTTAAATATATGCCTTTCTAAATGATGTGAGGTTGTATCTTATTGTCATTTCTATTTAAATTGAACTCTTAATCAATGATGACAAATAATACTTCAATATCTGTTGGCCATCTGTATATACTTGGAAGAATGTCTGTTTAGCAGCTCTCCTCACTTTGTTTTTGTTTTGGAGGGTTTACTTGGATGTGTTCAAGGATTACTCCTAGCTCTGCCCAGGGATTAATGACCGTATCCCTGAGCAGAGGGATTGTATGTGATGCTGGGGATCAAATCCATGTCAGCTGCATGTAAGGCAAGCACCTCACTTGTACTCTTTCAGGCTCCATTCTCTCCCTGTTTTTTGATTTTTTTGTTTCTATTGTGTTATTGTTGAATTTTGTGAATGCCCCATATAACTTGGATATTATTCCTTTGTCAGATGCAAATGTGGATAAAAACATTTTATGAATATTTAAAACATTAGGTAAAGCAACCATGGTAAAGTTACTGCTTATTTATTTTTAAAATTATTGTATAACCAAGATTCTATAGGATTAGGTACTTTACATCAATGGGATCAAGAGCCACATTTCTACAGTCCTAACCAACACTAAATATAGTCTACTACCACATGGTACCTCAAGTTTTTCAGTTTTATCAGGTGATATAACATAAAATAAATGCTTAAAAACAATCTCGGTCATGCTTAAATTTCTCATGTAATAAAATTATTGGGCAAATACTAAGTATATTTACTTTAAAGAATGTACATATGCTCTTTCCTCAAGATGGTATCCTCACTGGCAACATTGTGGGTAGTGTGTATGTGTGTGTGTGTGTGTGTGTGTGTGTGTGTGTGTTTGCATACAGAAACATTTGCAGTGCGGACAGTATTCATTACCAAGTTGTATTTATTGGCTCCCTCCTACCATTAACTTGTTTATGGGTTTATAAGTGGAAAGGGAACACATTTACTTGGGAATGGCACCTCTAAATGTGTAGATATAATGGAGGCTATATCACAAATTGCTTTATCTAGAAATCCTCACATTTCCATAAAATTCTCTCTATATGTACATGTATAAAAATGTATGTATGTATGTATTCACTTCTTCTTGCTAGTTTTAGTCTCAAAACTGAATCAATCTAAAGATGCTGAGTGAGTCTTTAGGTAGTCTAATTTATAAGCTTGGGGCTCATTAACCTTTGATGACCACATTAAACTTTAAAATAAACCTCAGTCCATAAATAAAAAAAAATCATTCTCAGCAGTCTTTCTCTGAAAAGCTGAAATTTTGTAGTAAAAGTAAAAGTTACTATGGTTGCATAAAGGGCAATAAGATAATTTTAGAAGACAAGGTGGCCATTAAAGAAGACAAATACATATTAAAGAGTAGGGAAGTCAATTTAGCATATAGTGCCAAACTAAAATACAAATTAAAATTTATTGCACAGACATTCAGGGAATCATTAGAACCTAGCTATTTCCTTCTCTATTGTGATTTTACAAAATCTTAGCTCATTTTCTACCAAGACTGTTTATTTTTCCAATGGTATATTTTATGACTAGCACCATTTTTCCTGCCTAATTTACCAATTGTTATCTTAAAGTATTGTAGGGTGACATGCGTTCAAGTATGAATTCACTCTTTGAGAGTGTGTTTTATTAGTGCCTTACAAGTTGCTGCTTTGAACTGTGAAAAAACAGTTGCGGAAAATGTTAGTTTCCTAAGAACAATAGCAAACACGCAACTTGTATTTCTCTGCTTTTAAAAACAGATGAAATTAAACATACTAATGAAAAGTCCTCAAAGACACAGGGTCTCTTCCTAAAAATTGTATTAAAAGAACAAAATATTCTCAAGATTTTGTAAAATTAGATAATTTTTACATATTGAAACAGATTCATTTATCAGTAACAATAGGAAATTCATATGCTCTTGGCCAAAATTTCATTTGACTAACCAAATGATAATTTTAGGTATTATCTGAGACTAAGAAGAACACAAATGATGAGAGGGGAAACCTGCATCATCCCATCCCCTACAAGCGTTCAGCTGAATGATTTATATCAATAAGTGACTCTAGGTTCATTGATATAATTAATATTATGTGTGGAAACTGATAGCCTCTCCTTTTGAACTTGCTAGAATTCTCCTAAAGTAAAAGTTATACAAAATTCTATATGTAGTGGCGATAGCACAGAGGGTAGGGTGTTTGCCTAGTACGTGGCTGACATGGGTTCAATTTCTCCATTCTTTTTGGAGAGCCCGGCAAGCTACTGAGAACCTGGCAAGCTCCCCGTGGCGTATTTGATATGCCAAAAACAGTAACAAGTCTCACAATGGAGACGTTACTGGTGCCTGAACGAGCAAATCGATGAACAACGGAGGACAGTGCTACAGTGGTACAGACAGTATAAAAGAAACAATTCATCAAAAAAAAGCACATCAAAAATTGTGAAGAAATAATGATAATAATGATTCACCCAATGAAGAATATTATAGAATCAATAAAGATTAATCATACTAAATTTAACTTAGTGACTGACACTAAAATCTGAATCCAGGTCATTTCCCCATCTTTTTGTTACTACCTTGTCAATTGCTTCGATAGCCTACCTCTTTTAGTTATTTTTGAAAAGTTAAGTCATTTTATGGCAAAAAAATAAAACTTAAATTTCTTTACTCTTAGTATTATAACTTGCAACAGAAAGGCAGTTTTCATAGTTTTCTAGACTAGAATCAATATTCATTAAAGGCGATAATACATGATGATAATTTGTAATGTGAAATATAACTCCAATCCCCCAAACAGATCTACTTTATACTGTTATGATTTTCTGCTCTAACATCAAGGTTAATATATGCCAGATGGCTTACTTACTTTCATTAAGAATTATTAGTATCAAAACTGTTTAAACTAACAACAATTCATCATCTTAATTGGTTTTTCTAAGAGTTAATGTGAATTATGCAGGAAAAGAATGATGTCCTAGTAGGCCATGGCTGAGAGTCAGAAAATTATGCCATCATCTCAAAAGTGCATTTGACTTTCAACCTTGGTCCAGGGGTAGGCAGTTGATCTAAACTAGTCCAAATAGTATAGATGCTTAAAATGATGTGATTTCATAAGGAAATCATCATATTACTAGCTTGACAAGTAGTTTTATCTCATGAATTGTCTTTTTTTACATAGCAATCTCATTTTCACTCATCTATAATTTAAAGTGCTTCTGTAATTTTTTTTCTAAGTTTGAAAGTTGACAGGCACAGACAAACCAAGGCCACTGAAATTAAAGCACCTTGTTCTGGGGAAAGTTCTGCTAAATTTTGAAGCTGCTCTTATCCCTAGGCTGGCCGTTCAATCATTCCTTCAAGAATATAAACTACTTTTGGATTCTTCTCAGAAAATACTTTCCACTAGTTTTTATTTTGAGAGAGCTGAAATAGTTACCTGCTACGTGAAAACAGAAAAAAACAGCGACTTATATAATACTTAATGTAACATTTAATGTAATTTTTGACTTTAATTTCAAATCCATCAATGTGAACCACTCCTAATAGACATCAACATATTATAATTCGACCTATGTTAACATTTTAAAAGTCCTATCGAAGTCTTTATGTTTGTCTTAGCACTAAACCAGAGCTCTAGAAAAAACCCAATGGGCGTCAGCCCAGGCTTGTGGAGAGAATCAATGTAGGACAATATTAACAGAGAAGAATTTTGTACCTCATCGCCTTTTTCTCCGGGTATTCCAGGGTAGCCCCGTTCTCCTTTGCTTCCCTAAAAAGATCATAAATTCAGTCAGTGATTCAATTATTTTGTACTCTTTGGGAATAAATGAGATACTCAAAATAACTTGATACATGTGCTTCGGAGAGAATCAAAGAACAGATAAATGATATCTGCAAATAGCTTGCACACCATTGTTTTTTGAAATATTTTTAGAAAAAGTGGTTCAAGTGTTTTTTCTTGGGCTAGAGAAATTGTACAGAGGTTAAGTGCTTGCCTTGGATGAGTTAACCCTGGTTAGATCCCTGGGACCACATTGACACCACGATGAGAGATTCCTGGGCATAGACCCAGGAGTAGCCCCTTAGCATCGCTAGGTATAGCCCCAAATCTTTCCCACAAAAAGTTCACTTTATCACAATTACCACACTGAAAATTCACTGAGGAGAAATTTTCTTACCTTTGGTCCTTCTCTGCCAGGGATTCCTGGAGGACCTCGTGGTCCTATATCACCCTACAGAACAGAGCAGCAACAGAACTGAATAGAAGACAAGGTACCATGTGTAATATGTGAATCCCACCGTTCCTCAGTCTACCTTCTTACCTTCTGAGCTAAAGAATCATATTTTCCAGGCTCACCAGCACTTCCCTTTTCTCCTTTGTGGCAATTGCCGCAGAAATTCTAATGAGCATAAAGAAAAAGTTCTTGACAGAGTGATCAAAATAATCTATGAAAGTGTGGTTTGATCTTCTTAAGTTCTAAGTAATATTTGAACTTTTGCCCTCTATGAGTGATAATGAGATTGCTATGTGGAAAAGACTATACTTGTTAGGTAAAACTAATTATGAAATTAATAAATGATATAGGTTTAGGATATTGGTGCACTCCTTTTTATAAAATGTTTATTGTGATATTTACATAAAAATTCCAAACAGATTAGAAAAGGATATTAAGTAACATCAATCAGGAATATGAAGTTTCAGTTTAGCTGTATATTTAAGAAGGGAAGTGGAAATAAAGTCTGGGATAACCCGTAACATTATATATCTTATATATAATAATATTATGTTTGAAAAGATAGAAGAAAGAATTGTACTGAAGGAATTTAGCCTTTTGACGGTAAAATTAGTTGGGAGTCATCATAAAGTTTACTCTCATTTTGTTTGCCCATTGAAAGCACTCACATAAGAAATTACTGCTTCAGTGATTTGGACTTGAATTCTATGTCAAATCCAAGTGCAGATAGAAAATATAAGTGGAATTACCTTTCCATTGCTTTCTCTATAACCTTTAGCTGATCTGTAAAGGCTTGAATTTAAGTGTCTGAGCTCACAAGATAAATTTCTTATCACATAGCTAAAGGAAAAGTGTCTGTGAAAAGCCATCTCAAGGTTTATTTTTAAGTTAATCATTATAATAAGCACATGATCAAGAAAGGAATAGAATAGGGAGCACTGAGTGGTGGGAGATAATTTTATTTTAACTGTTAACAGATGGTAAGGCAATATAAGCCTCTATTCTTCCATCCTTTTCTCTAAAGGGAAGAATCTTTAAGCACGAAAAGGAAACTGAAACTTGCCCTTGGTGAGCAATTGTTAAGAAAGTTCAGGATCCTTCAAATTCAGGATTTTTGACCCAGAGAATATATACATAGGCCTTATTTAAAAAATATGCTCCCTTGAAGATTGATTCTGTATGATAATAAAGAGAATCTAAGGCAATTTGTCTAAAAAGTGCTGAGTTAAAGGATTTTATTTATAGTGGTCCTTCTTAAAGCTACAATATATCAAAGGGGATGAGAGTGTAAAATATTTTCCAAACTAATTTTACCACTAGCATCTTTTCAAAGAACTGTAGTGTTGGTAAAGGAGTCTGTAGCACTGTAGCACTGTCCTCCTGTTGTTCATTGATTTGCTTGAGCAGGCACCAGTAACATCTCATAACATAGTGAGACTTGTTACTGTGTTTGGCATATTGAATACATCACAGGTAGCTTGCCAGGCTTTGCCGTGCGGGTGAGATACTCTCAGTAGCTTGCTGGGCTCTCCGAGAGAGGTGGAGGAATCAAACCCGGGTTGGCCGCATGAAAGCCACTCTACCCGCTGTACTACCTCTCCGGCTCCTATTACGTTGCTTATAATACAATTGTTTTACACCAGGAATGTTCCACCACTAATCCCACCAGTGTGACCTTCCCTCCACCAATATCTTCAGTCTCCCACCCACCACCCAGACTGCCCCCTTTCAGGCACCATCAAGTTTACTTCATATTGTTTGTTACAACAGAAAGGCAAATGGAATTTTCAAAACTTTGATCAGTGAGTCAATTTGTGATAATGGTTATATCTCACAATGGTGTTACCAAAGTCATTTTCTGAGGCTTTACTGGGATGGCTGGTGCTAGCTGAGTCCACTGTGTGATTGTTTAGGTTCACTGAGCTTTATGGTTTTCTATGTGACTTTCCATCAGATTGCTAGTGGGCTGACAGTACAGTGAAATTTAGAGGTATGTAGTCATGAGGTCCAAGAGCTACAGAGCTAGAATAATTCGGTGGCTTGGTAGATTGATGAGGTTCAATTGTAAAGCTGGGCTGTATTTCTATGTCGGAGGGTGTTAGATGTGGCTGCCTGTTACTGTGTCTTCAGGCAGGACGAGGAATCTTGCCACTCCTATTCCAAGAAGGCCCCAGAGTCTTCAGCTTGGATCATTCTACCTGGGGCGTTCACTTGCTTTTTAGAAAAATTTTATTTTAGGGACTATAGCTTATAAAACTCTTAATGATAGGGTCTACATAATACAATCCAGCACCACACCCTACACCAGAGTGTCTACTTCCCTCGATCACTCTCCCAGTGCCCCCATCCTATTTTTCCAGACCCAGTTCCCATTCCATGGTGAACTTCCTTCTGAAGACCACTTCTTGATTCTGTTGCCTTTGGGCATTTGCTCTAGCCCTACTTTGTTTCTTTATATCTCACATAGGAGCCAGATCATTCTGTGTCTGTCTCTCTCTTTCTGATTAACTTCATGCAGCATGATACTCTCCAGATTCATTCATGTAGCAGCAGATTGCATGATTCTTGTTTTCCTGATCCTTTTATTACAGCACATTGACTCTCTCAATTTGCTGTGAGTCTTTAAAAAAATTGATGATACTAAATTCTTTTAGGAAACTTATTTTCACTAAAAATACTTTTTTGAAAAGTACTGACATAGTTCCTAGACAAATATGACCCCCAAAGACCTTCCTATGGGTTTATCTCAGACTAGCTCACTCTTGGAATGAGATTATACATTACAATGTTTCTCCATAATAATATCTAAAGATTTTTTTCTAAGAACTTTAATGAAGTCATTTCCTTTAAATTGTTATTTGTTTACCTTAACCTAAAGAAAATGAAGTCAGCTTGAAATGACACTTAAAAAATTCAATTAACTCACAATGATTCCCATTTTTGTTTCATTAAAAATAGATTCTAAAATGTTGCTGTACCGAGTTTCCACATGATCCAGGAAATTGCACCTAAAGACATCTATCCCAAGGGCCTAAAAAACTATTCAGAAAAGACATTCACACGCCCATGCTCATTGCAGCACTATTCACAATAGCCCAAATCTGGAAACAACCCAAAAGTCCAAGAACAGATGACTGGATAAAGAAACTATGATGCATAGACACAATGGAATACTACTCAACTTTTTTACCTTTACCTTTTACTACTATGTGGATGGGTATGGAGTGTATTGAGCTGAGTGAAATTTTGTTTTAATGTTTCACTTCCAAGCTCTGTGATTGTGAACAATTTAATTAACTGCATGGCACTCCAGTCTATCATCTATAGAATGAGGATACTACCTCAGCATAAACTTACAGGGCTAAATTGTTAATATTAAATGATATAAGAAAAGGTTGTTCATCGATTTGCTCAAGCGGGCCCAGTAAGGTCTCCATTGTGACAATTGTTACTGTGTTTGGCATATCGAATACATCACAGGTAGCTTGCCAGGCTTTGCCGAGAGGGGTGGAGGAATCAAACTCGGGCCGGCCATGTTGGCCACTTGCAAGGCCAACGCCCTACTCACTGTGCTATAACACATATAATTGTAATTCAGTAACTGCAAGATCTTCCCAAAAGCAATCCAAATATCAAAAATTGTCTTCGAAGGTATTAAAAACTCACCTCACACATTTGTTTATAATCATATCTACACATTTTTTTCAGTACTTCAATAATATAACAATCATATCTACTAGCATTCTTGAAGTTTAAAAATTAAATTCAACAGGCCAGGAAGAATAGCTCAAAAGTCTGGAGTGCATGCTTTGTACCTGAGAGACTCAGATTTGGTCTTTGACACCGTCCTCCAAGCATCATGGGGAGTGACCTCTCAGCACTGAGCACCACAAAGCAACCCTCACAAATAAACCCTCAATACCCGCCCAAAGCTCTGGCAGTTGCGCCCACATCCCACCATTGCAGCCACACCAAGGGCTCAACTCCTCCATTTTGTGAATATATTTTGCAGAGATGCCAATCTGCAAATAACTTCAGGTACTTAGTGTCCAGGCTGAAATCTCTGATGATTTTTGGAGTTGGGGTGGATAGCCTTCCCCTGGTTCCCCATACTTCCAACCCCCATCCTGCTCCCAGCCACAATCACCTCCCAAATCTATAGCCATATTGAATTATTGACCCAGACCACAGATCCAGATGTCTCTGGACTGCATGACCTTGCAACACCTCCTGAGCAAGCAGCTTAATACATTCTTCTAATTTTTTTTCACTTTACCATTCAGTGGCTAGGATTTGGGGCTCACTCTTCTCTCAATCCACCCCCTTTGCATGAGAAATGATGGGAAGGCTTTTCTGAGCCTTCTGCTGAAGGCATGGCCCTTGAGCTGTAGTCCACAGCCCCTGAAGCCATTCTCAAAATTATTTTCATTATTTTCTCCCCATTCTTAAACTAATCCCCACTGACCGCCTACACAAATATATGGAGGGCGGTCTTTATTTCTTTGACCTATTTTCATCAATTTGTCTCCAGCTAATCCTCTCTTAAATGAACTCTTAAGATAAAGAGAACAGTCTATAGAAGTGGATTTAAATCAAAACCTGTTCCCTTGGGAGATGTTTGCCTCTGAGCAATTTGCTTGCAATCACTAGGTAGTATGTTCCTTTTGATTACATGGGGATATTTTATTGGATGAATCTTAGAGCTAAACCTGCAGACCTCTGAACAAGATGTCTGCCATTGCAAGGCTCCCAAACAGAAATAGTGACAATATAGGTTGACTACTATATTGCTTATGTTTTCTCTCTAGCCCTGCATTCAGGTCTCTTTCCCTATCCTGTCTTCTGGAGAGCTTAATAAATTCTTAGCAAACTAAGCCTATGCAAATATATGGATTTATAGGTACTCAGTTATTATTCTTTCAAGTCTGTCTTCTGGATAAAATACAGGATTAGAGAAAATATGGTAGCTAGACAAATTCCCTATGTGATGAATAATAGGTAGAGATAATTTTTATTTAACAGAGGAACAGGTGGTAGGCCAATTGTGAGCTCTGGAATTTTACAGCTCATTTTGTAAAATCCCATGACATTAAAACAGCCTTGCAAGCTAGCTGTTCGTGGAGCAGCACTGGTTTTCATCCTGGGACTGGCCAGGGCAGAGTCAGTGAGAAGGATAAGGTTTCACAGTGGTGAGCCAGGGTGGGTAAACACCCATTAAGAAAAAGCTGTTCCACCAGAGGACAGAATGATATATCTATCCAAGGGTATTAATGACATTATTCCTCCCACTCTCCAAGCCACCCCCTTCTCATTCAAAATGTGAGATAAGTAGAAGAGTAGAAAGGTTGGTATAAATGGGACAAAATATATAAACATGTTTCTTTTCCCATATTAAACATGTTCTATTTAAAAAATGAACTTTAGTGTAGACTAAGCAATTAACTCAGTATGTTATAAAGATTTTTCTTTTTTTCCTGAAAATAAATGAACAAATAATTTATTGCACACAAGAATATACCTTGAGTAAAGCGCCAATGTCTCCCAAGAGAGGCAGTGCAATCTGTGGTTAAGGAGAAAACCAAGAATAAACAATTGTATTTGTGCAAACACATGAATGACATACAAACATACAATATAATGTAGATATTTTTCTTCAAAATATCAGGTCAGCTGAGATGTGTCATGTGTCTTTGTAGAGTCTCACTGTCAGAATAATTTTCTTAAGAATATTTCATATAAAGATGTGAAAATCTGGGATTGATGGAAGTCACAATTATTTTTCAGAGGCATTTACAATTCTACATGCAAACATATGTATACCATTGTTTTGATTCTATATTTCTATTTTATATTTTAACGGGCTAGAGCAATAGCACAGCAGTAGGGCGTTTTCCTTGCACGCAGCCAGCCTGACCAAGCCAGGTTCGATTCCTCCACCCCTCTTGAAGAGCCCGGCAAGCTACCGAGAGTATCTCTCCTGGCAAGCTACCTGTGATGTATTCAATATGCCAAGCACAGTAACAACAAGTCTCAAAATGGAGACGTTACTGGGCCTGCTCGAGCAAATGACATGAAAACTTTTATGCCAACCTTAGTATGTTATTGGTTTTAAATATTACATAAAATTATAATTTATTAAAAGAAAATCACTCCATTGCCAAGAAAATGATTAGATTGATATGAAGAACAAAAAAGGAGCATGTGAGTTTTCTATAAAGTTAAGTTTTTTGTGTGTGTGTTTAAAAGAACCAATTGATGACTTACTTCTTGGACAAAACTGATGCTGATGGGGCTAAGGTAAGTTTCTAATCTCATGTCTTCTTTTTTGGCTCTTTGGGTCACACCTGGCAAAGCACAGGGGTTACTCCTGGTACTCCTGGCTTTGCACTCAGGAATTGCTCCTGGTGGTGCTCAGGGAACCATATGGGATGCTGGGAATCGAACCCAGGTTGGCTGCGTACAAGGCAAATGCCCTACCCGCTGTACTATTGCTCTAGCCCCCACCTCATGCCTTAAAATCTTTTTTTAAGAGAGAAGCTATATGCCCCAGTAGCATTTTACAAGATTTCCAGATGTTACACACAGTATTCATTGAGCAGTGCAGGCAAAGGAAGGCCAAAACATGTCTCTGTATGTACTTACAGAGGCATAAGGTCCAGTGTGGGAGGCAGAAAGATTTGTGAGGGTTAGAATTTAGAGGCCAAAATTTGGATTTTATTATATGAAACTCTTAATATATTGCCATGTACCATATGACCTCTTAAATGATAGCTGCTGACTGTGAGGCTGATTTAAAGGGATTTCACTGTAACTCAAAGCAGACTTAACCTAAAACAAAACTTCTAAACACATGTTTAGTGCCTAAACCCATTTCTAGGAGCCCACTGAATCTTGTTTTTTAAATTTTATTGTTTCACCACTTTAAAGCTATAAGATCAGTGGATATTTATATATATACCATATTATGGGTAAGTTACCTGCAGACTTTCATTTAGAAAAATGAAATTCATTTAGTAACCAGCATTAGGAAGAACAGAAATTGTGGCTATATATTTTAACTCAATTTTCTATGGGATTGAGACATTATATGCTAGGGCTCAGCCTGGGGCAAAATTGTACAGCTGAATTATACCCTTAGGAAATAAGTATTCATCACACACACAAAAATGCTGACGCAGTTTGAATTGTTTTTTCCCCCTCTCTACAAAATAATGGGGATAAACAAAATCACCAAGCAGTCACTGAGCATTATAATTAGTTTGGACAGCAAAACTTGCTTGGTAGGCTATTTGGCTTCTGGGTGTATTAAAGATACATAAATCAGGCACAGTTTGTTGACATACCGGGTCACCTGGGGGGCCTGGCAGACCTGGCTTTCCATCTCTTCCTGGGGCACCCTGTAAACAGAAGCATCATGTTTCAAGTCTTTGCACATTTGCCCAGGTATAACATTGAGTGAGAGGGATGGAGGAGTAGTAAAAATGTTCCTTACAGTGTTGCCTGGGGTCCCTGGAGTTCCTGGCAATCCAGGGAGACCTCGAGGACCCTGGAAAAGGGGGAACATTTTTATTTCTATGTTTCAGCAAGTTCTTAAATGTGCTTTCAATTATTTTTTATTGAATCAAAATAATTCCATTAAAATAAATGGAGAAATAAGGTGTAAGGGGGTGATAAAGACACACACACACACACACACACACACACACACACACACACACACCGATACATGTTCAAGAGAGGACATGGGTTTGGAAAAGAGCCAATACACCTGCTCATTTGTGGTAACACAGAAATTGGTGAAGTAGCTTACCTGAATACCTGGCTCTCCAGCTGGTCCTTGGGAGCCCTGAATAAAACGAGAGTCAATGATCAAAAGTTTGACAAGAATGTCCACAAATTATCCAAGTGGGATAAAGAGATAAGTGTTACAATTCATGTCACAACCACCATGTACACTCTGAAAACGCTGCCAATTCAGTCAAGATTTTGGGGGGCAGTTAAACACTTAGCAAAATACTGCCACTGAAAATATCAAGATGATTTTGCTAAGATATCTGCCTTTCCCATCATCTGCCTCTGCACCATCATGAACAAACAGACAACGCAGCTAATCTAAGCAAGTTCAGAAACTAACCAGAAGGGTAACTAGCCCAGGGCTTCCTTTCCTTTCTCTTTACTATTTTGAGTCATTTATCAAAGCCAATAATTAATGACAGGAGTAGATATGAATTGAAAGTAAAATATTAATTGAAGAAATTGTCAAAACTGGTGCTCAGTAGGAATTAAAGTAATTAGTTATTCCTGTTTTGGAAAATTGGAATTTGGGGTAACAAAAATGAGACTGGGGACCAGTGAACTTTATGGTCTAACTTCTATCTCCACCTCATCACTATGGACCACTAAATGAGGGGTTCACCATTAAAAAGTCTGTAAGAACTTATTTCCTAGAAGCTGACTTTAAAAAAGCACTTCTGAACTTCTCCTTTATTTATATAACTGCTGGACCAATAGCACAGCGGTAGGGCATTTACCTTGCAAGCAGCTGGTCCGGGTGAGCCGGGTTCGAATCCTTGTCGGAGAGCCCGGCAAGCTACCTAGAGTATCTCGCCTGCATGCAAAGCCTGGCAAGCTACTCGTGACATACTCGATATGCCAAACACAGTAACAGAAGTCTCACAATGGAGATGTTACTGGGCCCGCTTGAGCAAATCGTTAAACAACGGGAGTACAGTGCTACAGTGATATATAACTGCTACTTTCAAATATGCTTTTAGTTTCCTTTTCAGCTATACCATGCCATTTAATTATTTTTTTTAAATTTTGCATCAACATTCTTCACTCTTTAAACTTGCTTATTTTCCTATATAAACTAATATTTTGTATTCTTGTCCTTGAAAATCAAATACCAGTCACATACAAATGACCATTTACTACTTAAACCCTCTAACTCTAATTTAATTACAAGGTCAGTTTCCCAAATTAATGTCACTAAAATAGGAATTTGTCTGCACTTTTCTTATCTTAAAAATTTTATAGTTTTTATAGTAAATAAGAATTTTTTTTATCTCACCCCTGTTTAGTATACTGAGAGTGGTCATTATTATCAGGAACTGTTATAGGTTCTGTCCTTGTGGACAAAATACATATGAAAAATGCATTTTTTGTCTCAACCATTAAACTGCTCCTACAATTTCTTCTTTAAGATAAAACTTACACATTTTAAAAATATCATCTTGATTATACATTTTCTAATCACTTTATATATTAATATATTTTACTTTAGCAAACAACAAACAGTAGTATAAAGTGGCCTCAAGCATTCCAATAATTAACATTATTTTTCATACATCAATTTTCTACAGACTACAGTAGTATAAAGAATTACATAACTGTTTCTAATCCAAAATCATTACATGTGTGGTCAGCAGTTGTGAGTGGATTAATGAGAGTACTCTCTGTGCTAAGTGATAGAGCACCAAAGACCATTAATTCTCTCCATCTGACAAGTACTCATTTATGTCTCTTGCTCTGATCTTTTTGTTTTCGTTCCCTTATTCAAATTTGTCACTGGAATACACTTCACAATTCTGGAATCAATAGGATTTTAAGAAATCTACTGAATTGTACTTACTATTCGGCCAGGAATCCCTACCCCAGGGGGGCCTGTTTCACCTGGGGACCCATGGACGCCTGGAAGTCCTCTTTCCCCCTGTGCAATGAGATGAGATGCATTTATTAATGCATGGTTCCAGAGACACAAAGTGTTAAGTGTATTTTATTATCAATAATTCACCAAATTAAAACAAAATCTGATATTTTTCTACCTTGGGTCCCCGTGGACCAGGCATCCCAGGATTTCCATTAAAACCCTAAAAGACAAGACAAATACAATAACTTTTATAAAATATTAAGAATATCACAGAAGTCACAGCTCAAAACTTCAGGAAAAGGCAGACTAGGAGTGACATAAGACAGTGGTAGAGATTCTTTGGCACATTGGTGGTAATGGAGATTCAGTATCTGTGCAGATAAAGCATAAGCATTATATCATTGTATCCAGATTACCTCAACTACAATAAAAATGCATTATTCTTCATCTTACTTGAGTAAATATTTTTGCAATGGCATATGGAAGACACATTTCATATAGGGAAGACACATTTCAATGATATGAAATTGTACAGTTACTTTTACAACTTTGTTACTTTAAAATTTTAGGGCTATCTGAATTGAAAAACTATTTATTATAGCCTACTAAAAACTGTTCGATGGAACTAGAAAAAGAGCACATACATGAGATATTTTGGTTATTTAAAAATTCCACCTATTCAGTTTTCTAGGTCTGTGGAGTAACCTTTGACTACTTAAACACTTTCTGTTGATGAAACATTTTCTAATGTTTGTTCACAGCTGAAAAGCCTCTGGAAGGGAAATTCCAGGAAGTTGCTCTGTTTTAAGAGTGTCCTGAGAAAGCTTATTGTTTAAAACAAGTATATCTTACTAGGTTTAAAATATCTTTAAAGAACTCATGCGGGAGCTGGAGTGATAGCACAATGGGTAGGGTGTTTGCCTTGCAGGCGACCGAACTGGGTTCAATTCCCAGCATCCCATATAGTCCCCCGAGTACCGCCAGGAGTAATTCCTGAGTGCATAAGCTAGGAGTAACCCCTGTGCATTGCCGGGTGTGGCCCAAAAAGCAAAACAAAATAAGACAAAACAAAAAAAGTACGCAGATGATTCATGAGGCACAAATCTTGTAAAACTGTCCATAAAATGGTGTGTAAAGTAAAGGCCCTCCCGTTGATCATCGATTTGCTCGAGCGGGCCCAGTAACGTCTCCATTGGAGACTTTGTTGTTACTGTGTCTGGCATATCGAATACTCTCGGTAGCTTGCCAGGCTTAATTTTATTCCCAAAGAGGCTATTACTCTGATTAAAGAATAGATGGGTAAAGACTGGATGTAGTAGGTAGGGCGCTTGCCTTACATGTGGCAGACTCAGGTTTTATCCTTGGCATCCCATATAGCCCCTGAGCACTGCCACGAGTAATTCTTGAGTGCAGAGCTAGGAGAGAGCCCCAAGCATTGCAGGGTATAGCCCTCCTCTTCCCTAAAACAGAGTAAACTATTATTTATTTTTGTTCAAACCTAAAGTGATTCTTATTCTTTTATGATTTGGTACTGGGAATACACAGAAAAAGTAATGAATACACTTTTAAGAGAAATATTAGCAAAAGAGCTCTACTTACTGGTTCCCCTGGCAAGCTTTTCCCTGGAGGACCAGCATCACCTTTTGGACCTGGAAGCCCAGGTGGGCCTGTAATTCCACCTGATTCTCCCTGAGATAAACAAGATAAGATTTGTAGTTATTTCATTGCTCAGGATCATGATAGGAACTGTAGAGGTAGTTGTTTCTACTGTTTAAGGCAGTCATTGTAGTTAATCAAATGTCATTATCCCATTCATTCCTTCATTCATTCCCTTATTCAATAATACTTAACTCATGCCACACATTGCTCTTGTTATCTTTAGTGCATACAGTGAGTCACATTAAATTAATTCCAGTAGTTTTCATGGGACACATATATTTGTATAAGTATATGTACATGAGGCTTATCTGTTAATAGTTATTTGTGTTCTCTTTATGTTACTCCCAAGCCATGGTCAGAAATTAATACTATATCCATGTATATAGTATATATATATGTGTGTATAGTATATTTGTATATATATAAAAATCTGTATATCTATATCTATATCTATACACATCCATGTAGATGTCAAAGAACAGGTCCTGAAAGATTTCGATTTCTTAGGTCCACAGAGTTAGTATCTAAGTCTGAAATAGGCGAAGGGTTGGCCCAATGCACAACTTCAGGGGGTGCCACTCATATGAGAGTTTTGGTCACTATCCCGTGCTTACTTCTGGCATCCTTGTTTGATTCTTTCACTCCCCAAATGCCTTAGGCCCTGCTCACTTTGTCTCTTCCTCCTACAGAGATATTTAATATAATAAAAGGGTGAAGTGGAAACTATACCTTTTCTCCTTTAATGCCTTGTATCCCTGGAATACCATGTTCACCAGGTAATCCCTATAAAATTAAAAATTCAAATGAAGGAGCAACTAAAATAACCATTTTAAAATAAAATTTATATCTGAGCATCTTTAGTGGAAGAACTGAATTGCCACATGTATGCTAAATGAAAAAGAACTGATTTTGTCATTTTTCCTCCTAGAAAAAAACAGTAGTGAAAACGCATGTTTATTATTTTAAATAAAGTCTAGATGAGAAGGGAAACTAAATGATAGAGAATTTAATCAAACACTTCATCCCTGTATTGTCAAGAAGGGCTAAAAAAGAAAAAGAATAGAAAATATAATTTTATTAAATATTAGCAACTGTGACTATTTCCTGTTAATTTTGCTATTTATTTATATCCTCAAGCAACTCTACTTTAAACTTACTTCTTGGGCATCTTGTAACTCTACCAGTACAACCAGTATTTCCTCTTTTATAGCAAAACCTCTACGTAAGATACACCTTACATAGAGCTCATTGTGCTGCTTGAGAGATACGCAAAAATACTTTTCTCTGTAAACTAAGTACCAAGCAGAAACAGATACATGGAGAATACAGAAAAAGGTCATGGAGATGTTCTTAAGATGATGAGAAAAAGGAAGTTTCTAGAAGGTACATAGGGGATATGTGAATTTTGACTAGATGTACAGGTCAGTCCTCACAAAATTATGATAAATAAGTTCTCTCATTTTTTCCCCTTTGGCTTATTTGGTTACACCTGGCGATGCGCAGGGGTTACTCCTGGCTTTGCACTCCAGAATTACTACTGGCAGTGCTCAGGGGACGATATGGGATGCTGGGAATCGAACTCCGGTTGGCCGTGTGCAAAGCACATGCCCTACCCGCTTTACTATAGCTCCAGCCCCTTATTTTTCTTAACTGTGGACCAATGGTGAATTTCAGCTCCCAAGCTTTCAGAAGTTAGAGAGGAGGGAATCCACAAGATAGAAGGCCGAACTGAGAGATCAACAGAAAAGTTAATTAAAAAAAAATCTGAGTGTGCATGCGAAAAACGAGAGGAGGGAGGAGTAAAAGAAGAGCGCTAAGGAGTGAAAGAAAGGGGAAGGAAGAGAGAGACGGGGAAGAAGAAGGGAGAGGTGAGGAGAGAGGAGGGGATAGGAGAGTGAGGAGAGGAGAAGGAAGAAGAGAAGGGAGGAGATGGTGGGAGAGTAGAGGTGAGAGGAGGGGAGAGTTCAGTAAGGCTTGGGGCAGCTCAATGTAGAGCTGGGGTGCCCTGCAGGCAAGGGGTTGAAAGCACAATCAGACACCCTTAGTTTTATTGCCACTAGGCATCTGCAGGGTCACAACAAGTGTACCAACTTTGGGACGCGGAAAGGAAGAGTGTGTGTGTGTGTGTGTGGGGGGGGGGGTGGTATGTGTGTGGTTTGTGTGTGTGTGTGTGTGTGTGTGTGTGTGTGTGTGTGTGTATGCATGCACCACAGCCGAGTGTCTGACTGCAATTCATGCAAAACAACAACAAAAAGAGAAGGAAAAATAAGATAAGTAAGAGTTTGGCTCTAATGAAATCTGAGGAAAACATTTATCCAACGGATCCAACTGCATCATAAAATAATATCAGCCTCAAGATTTGTCTTGGATGCTCTTACAAGAAAACGACAGAAGCTTTGGAAGTGACTTTCTTGGATGGAGACTTGAACAAAGGCCATGCATAATGAAAATACTTGCTTTCTTGTCTGATTGTCTGTTTTCCTTTTGCTGTTGCCAATTCCCTCTATTATGTGTACTACCCTGACAAGCATGTCAAAATGATTAACTTATTTAACTTAAGATCCAAAGACTGAGTTATTTGGCTAATGAGATTCAAAAGCACCTCCCATGAATATATGGCGATAAGATTCTTCCCAGTAGAATCTGATACAAGTTGTAAGGAATTTTAGTTGTACAGATGACCCAAGGTTTTGACACTGTTGCATAATTAACCCTATGAATATATTGACATTCTTTAAGATACATTCATCACATTAATTTCCAAATATCAAGACATATGTGTATATTATACATACAACATCTCCTGGAGGTCCTCTGGGTCCCATTAAACCTGCAGGTCCTCGTTGACCCTAAAATAGAAGGTAATATGTGCCTTAACTTTATTAAAAATTAGATTATTCCTGAATATATGTAAAACATGTCTCGGCCTTTATCTATAGGAAGATTGATTTCATACCATCCTACCTTCTCTGTATGATACCGAAACATACTTTGAACTTACAGAGGCAGTTTTAAGATGTTATTTAAATGGGCTCGCTCTCACTTGACAGTTGTGGCTGGATAATTTGCCTCATTCATTAGTCAAAGTATACCACCATCCCTCCTAAGCATCTTATGTGGGAAACCTTCAGAACCCCACCAAGGGACTGAAATATTTCAGGGCCATATAATTTTGACTCAGAAGTTGAATCTTGAATATTGTCCAATTCAAGAACACAGCTCCTAATAGAAACCTATTAAATAACCCCTCTCCCAAAACTGTTTCTTATATACTGACAAAGTCAATTAGAAAAAATTATGGAGAAATTGCCATATACATACAATTAATATAAGTGAGTATACAAATTAAAAACAAACTCAGCTCAAGGTCTTAGAAAAATCTCATATTGTTTACTTGTAAGAGCTTCTAAGCATACTCTTGAGAATGCAGCAAAAAATCCTATTGTGAACCAAAAGGAAGAGTTACTATATGTGTAAAATGCTGCCAGTGAGGAGGAAATCACCATGGAAACAGATAAAGCCTCTGAGAACATTAGTGAAAATAAAATGAGAGGTACACCAAAGCACTTTGTTTTACATAAGAATGGATATTATATCAAGATAATTTCTTAATTCGCCTCTGATATTTTATATACCTCTAGTCCAGGGCTTCCTGGCTGGCCAGGGGTGCCAGGCTCTCCTGGTTGGCCCTATATAAAAGGACAATGGAAAGTAAGATGGTTACTTTAATTTCCAGGATTTCATTAGATTGAAGAAGCAATTGAAGAACGTCAGATTACCTTCATTCCCTGTGCTCCTATTATCCCAGGTTCTCCCTGTAAATAAAATGATTTACACAAATGTAATGCTTGAATTCAGGTAGAAATGAGCATCTCTAACATTTAAATTCATTTAAATTTCTACTAATTAATACAGAGTTAATGGAAATTAGGAAAGCCTGACGACCTGGTGAAGTCCATTCACCAGGTCATTGTAAATATTGTAAATTAAAATATGACTTAATACTGATAGTAGGAGAATAACAGATGCCCAAAGGCAACAGAAATGAAGAGCATGAGAAGAAATTTTTTCAGTGGAAGCATGCCACTTTGTGGGGAGGGAGAAGAAAAGGGGACCAGAACACTATGACAGCAGCAGAGGGAATGGTGACTGGGAAAGAAGAGGGGATGCTGAAAGGTGATGGAGTGTTATGCATGAAACTGTTTCAATAACAGTACTGTAAGTCATAGTGCCTGAAGAAAAACAGAAATTGAAGGAACCTATCAGGGGCCAGATCAATAGTAAAGTGGTATTTGCCTTGCATGCAGCTGACCTAGGTTCTGTTCCCCAGCAACCCATATGATCTCCTGAGCACTGTCGGGAGTAACCTAGGTTCCATTGCCCAGCGACCCATGTGATCTCCTGAGCACTGCTGGGAGTAACTCCTGAGTGCAGAGCCAGGAATAAGCCCTAAGCATTAGAGGGTGTGGCCTCCCACCCAGAAAAGTGCCTGTCATAGAAGTGGGTGGGAAGGAAACTGGGGATATTGGTGAAGAGAAGGCACTTTGGTAAAGGGATTAATGTTGGGACATTGCCTGAAATTCAACCACGAGAAAACTGCAATTAGTGGTGACTAAATTAAAAACAAAAAATATTGATAGAGACCAGAGGGATAATACATTGGATAAGGGTCTTGCCTTGTGTGAGGTGGGCCCTAATTCAAATTTCTGGTAGCACACATAGTTTCCAAGTGCTGCTGAACCCTTGAACATAGAGACCCCTGAACATAGATCCAGGAATAAGTCCTGAGTGCCACTGAATTGGCCCCCCCAAACGAACAAACCAAAAAATAATTTCTTATTTTCTTTTTAAAAAGCATTTTATCCAATGTTACATACATTTGACAATGTAATCATTATATTCTATTAGCAATCACTGAATTCTCAACTTCACTGACATTGTTATGGTTTACCACCAGCTAATGTCAGAGCTCAAAAAATTAGAACTCCAAATAGGGGAAAGAGAAAGAGAGGGGCATTCAGGTTGATATGCATGACAATTCTACTATTGACCTATGCATTCAATGAAAATAAAGTTACATTAAAGTTACAATATTGGTGACAAATGAATTTATTTTTCTTTTTCTATGACAATATTGTTTCTTTTGATAAAATAATTCTGTTTATCTTAATTAGTTTTTATCATTACTGGAATTTGGGAAAAATTCTTAACTTGTATTTTAATTTTATGTTTTTATAACACAAATCTCTTTTTTATAACATTCATATTAAATAAGTAACGGATTAAATAAAATGAATGTCACCAAATTCAAATGTTAAGGTATCTTTACATGATAAAGCTTCAAAAGGGTTAATATTTTCCCCTTTATCAGAATAAAAGAGTCAAAATTTACATATGAAAGAAATAAAATGCTCAGGGATCTTATTTTTTCAAATCTATTAGGCGCCAAAGAAAACATACCAGAAATTAAAGAGAAAGAAAGCAATGAAGTAGGAACCCCAAGATAGTGATAAAACATTTACTTACTCTATCTCCCTTTTCACCTTTTGTGAAAGATTCCCCCTAGGAAAATAGGTAGAGAACAGAACTAATTAAAAACACTTTTGTATCAAAACTCTCTAAAACCAGATCCGGTTCAATCCTGCAGGCCTCACTCAGACCTCTATTCTAAACAAGGCCCTAAAACGAACCAGCATGTGCACAGGCCACCTGTTCAGCTTAAAGGGAACATATGAGAATTAATTAACTTTTTTTTTTCATATTCCCAAAAGAACAACAGGTTAATCATTCTAACGTTATTTTGAGAATCCTTTGTGGATAACACTGTGGAAGTCTGTCTGCCTGAGGCAAAAACTTTCTCTTGCATGGTTTACCAGAAAATGACCACAGAGTCCTTCTCTCAAAACAGAATTGAAGTGACAATAAAGAAGGGTTCTATTGCAAGGACATTCATTTAGATTCTTCCAATTATGTCAGTCTTTAAATGAATGCTTGCAAATATAAAATAATATTATTAAAAATACTAACTTTACAGTCATTTTAATAACATTAATTTAGTAACATTAATGGCATTAAGCTATTAATTATGGGGCGAATAACAGTTGAGACTGTCAAACTGTTATTGACTCATTTTGGTTTTTGAAGGTTCTTGGAGAGACAAATTTTGTGGGAATATCTCTTATTAAATATCATTCTCTTCTATGTCACTGTCGCTAACAACACATCGTAGTCTTAGTGTGTGTGCATGTTAGCTTCTGTTAGCTTCTACTATTAGCTTCTGTTGTCGATGTTACATGTACTCAATCTTTATTCCTACCACAGTGCTCTCAGGAAGAAATGGTCTTCTTTTAAGCCCAAGGAAAGAGACTCAGAAAGGGTCTGAGTAACTGAGTCATTCCTTATGGAATAGCACTCATCCACCATTCATGTTTTTATTTTTTAAATCTTGACTACAAATTTTGTGATGTAAGTATATAATTATCTTGACTCTCATAGCATCTTTGCTGTAGGTGCTTTATAAAAATTAATAGACCAACAAGAGTTTATAAAAATTCAGAATTTGATCTCATACAAATTTAACAGTGACAGTTAATCATTTACCAAATTCTTAATATGTGTCAAGCACTGTTCAAATCTTTTTATATATATTAATACAACTGACACAATTGTCAATACGTTAAGTATTGTTAGTATACCATTTTACAGATGAGACAACTGAGGTACAACTTAAATGACTTTCCTAGCTCACATAGACAGAAAGAGATCATTTAAGATCTATTCCCAAACAGCGCGCTGGGGTGATAGCACAGCAGGTAGGGCGTTTGCCTTGCAAGTGGCCAACCTGGCCGATCTGAGTTCAATTTCTCCGCCCCTCTCGGAGAGCCCGGCAAGCTACCGAGAGTATCTCGCCCACATGGCAAAGCCTGGCAAGCTACCCATGATGCATTCGGTATTCCAAACACAGTAACAATTGTCACAATGGAGACGTTACTGGGCCTGCTCAAGCAAGTCGATGAACTACCGGAGGACAGTGACAGTGACTGTGACCCAAACAGCAGGGTTTTAATTCCAGTTCTGATTTCTTTCAGTCTGATATGAAGCCTAATTCACATTATTTATTATTTGAATTGAATGAATTGATAACAAGATGGAAAAACCCATTAAATTAAATTTATTTATTTATTTTTTTATTTTCTCTTGAAAATCAAGAGAAAGTCTGAGAACCATTACGGTGAGAGAACTAGTTTCAACGTTCCTCTCAGAGATTTCTTTTTTCTTAAAAAAATCAGTAACAGGACATAAAAAGTTACCAAGTAGACCCTTTTGTAATTCATCCCTACATGCTATATACACTTTAGAAAGACTGAGACCAGATAAAAGCTAACTGCTCCATGTAATGCTATAAAAAGTTGTGTTTTGTTTTTAAAATCTGGGCAACAGGGAGGAAAGCAGACAAATATTATGAAAGGGAGCTGTGATAATTAAGGGATTCAGAAAGAGTTGGCAAGAAGAGCTAGAGAAAAGAGGTCTGGTTATCGTGGGCAAGACTGATAAGGGGGGGGCAATAGCCTGGTTACCCCCTTCTTCCCACCCAGCCCTGTCTCTCTGACTTCAAACACTGATGTAGGAAAGAGAGCCAGAGGGATTCTCCCAGGAGCTGTGAAATCCTTTAAACCTTGCTACTCAAAGCACGTTCCACTGACTGGCATCCAGAGTGTCACCTGGAAACGTGTGAGAAATGCAGTCTCACAGATGTGGCATTAAAGGAGACATGGAAAAGGAGCACAGTGATCAAAGTCATGGGAACTGAAGATTGTGTCATTAGGACTAAGCTTACACAGAGTGGATTTGGAAGGGGTTCTTGGAACCTTGGTGGTGGGAAGAGGACTCTTTGGTGTTGGGTGTGGCATTTAAATCATGGGACGGGATTCAGGCTTAGGATGGAAACATACAGAATTTGGTGGTGGGAAGGTGTAATGGTGGTGGGATTGGTGTTTGAATATTAAATGTAATCAAACATTGTGAACTAACTTATAAAATTAAAAAAAAAGTAATGTGGAGTTCATGCCCAATTCAATCAGCTTAATCAACGGCTGAATAAATAGCAGTGCTCCTACATTATAAAAAAATAAATCATGTATTCATGGAAAGTACAATTAACAGTATTATACACCTGTCACCTCAATAAAAATGCTCGAAAAAAGGAAGAAATTCTGCACTTAGTTTCCACCCCAGACTTAGTGAGTGAGGATCAGCATCTTCAGATGCTGAAGTTAACTCAAGGGCCATTCATGTTTGAAAAGCATAGCTATAATTTACTCAGAGTTTCTCTTTTTTGGTCTACCAGTCCCTACATTTCCAGTAAAATCCTAGTGAAGCTTACTGCTGGGCCTGCCATGGTCATGTGGCAATCGAGAGCACCTGGGTGTCAGTATCCAGCTTGGAAGGTAAACATGAGAGTCCTGTGAAGCAGTTCAGAGGTTGTAAGAGATGCTGACCAGTGTGGAGCATCAGGATGAATTGCAAGAATTGGCAATGGAAGGAGCAGCTAGCGCCAGGCAGGATTTGCGGGCCATGGGAGGTTTCCCACACACCTTGGAAATACTCAGTTGGAAAAGTCCACCAAAGAGTGCCACAGAAGGAAGTGGACTAAGGGCAAACAGGGCTACTGAAGGCAGGAGAACTTGGTGTTCCTGGGTAACAACTCTGATGAAAATTCATTTACTATTCTTGTTAAAAATGCCTACCTTCTAGCTGAAATACAGGGAAGTTTTTATTTTGCAACATTACTTATATTTTTGTGGAAGAGGGAACTTGAGCCTGGCACCTTATACCACTTAGCCATCCTGACACACATTCCTCTGCCCCTCTCTGAGAGCCGGGGAAGCTACCAAGAGTATCTTGCCCACAAAGCAAAGCCTGGCAAGCTACCGTAATGTATTTGATATGCCAAAAACAGTCACCACAAGTCTCACAATTTGTTGTGAGACGTTACTGGTGCTCTCTCGAGCAAATCGATGAACAATGGGAGGACAGTGCTACAGTGCTACTTATTATATTTTTATAGGGGATATGTGCATTGGTGCTTAAGTGGGGATACCCCCAACTACGATTACTCTGACAGTTCACCCACCATGGATGTGAGAGGGGGAAGGGAGTTAAGTGGTGCTGGGTGATTGAACTGAGGACCTCACTAATTCTAGAAATATTTTCACCCACTGGAACTATCAACATGTCCCCTATTAAATACACTTGGGGAAAACAACTGGCGATTCTCAGGTATGCTCCCAGTTCTGTGCTTGGGGATTGTCCCAGAGATGTTGGGGGACCACATGGTGTTGGGGGTGAAAACTGGACTTCCAACATGCAAAGCATCTACTCAGGACCTTGAGCTGTCTCTGGGTTTTGAGTACGTTGAATATTGCTCCTGTTTGAAATCCAGACATTTTGTAACCTTATTGTTCAGAGTCTCCTGCCCCCGCGCCTGGCTGTCCTCACCAGGGCTCCTTGGAGGGGGGAGGGTTGAGTTTCTCTCCCACCCACCCCCCCGCCCTGAGCAGAGCCCTAGCAGCTGAGGACCTCCGGAGCCAGCCACGGCCATGCTGGGACCACTCTCCACACGTCCGGATGGGCCTCATGCATGAAAGAAGTGGCAGAGGAACCCAGGCATGCGGGTCCCGGGTCTGAGGTCTCCAAGCCTACTCAGATTGGGACTGGGCCCTCTTCACCTAGACCCCCCATCTTCCAGTAGGTAGGCGTCACACCCACCAGCTGCCGCCAGCACCAGGTTGGTCTCATCAACGGCCAAGACGCAGAGACTATAAAACCCAGCTCCCGGAAGTACACGGCCACATTCGCGGCTGTGCAACATCTTATTATCTTATTTTTCCTTTGGAGAACCTGGCAGGCTACTAAAAGTATCCTGCCCACACGGCAAAGTCTGGCAAACTTCTCGTGTCGTATTCAATATGCCAAATACAAGTAACAATGATGGGTTTCATTCTCTAATTCCTGAAAGAGCATTGAAGTGGCTCTTTTAAAATCTCAGGGTTAGGAAGAAGGAGACGTTACTGGTGCCTGCTCGAGGAAATTGACGAATAACAGGATGATCGTGATCGTGATTGTTCATTATCCCCAGTAAATCCATAATCCATATTCACCCACTTCAGAAGAGAATATCAAACGTTATTGATAAATAACGTTTTTTTTCCCTATCCCCTTAGCACTTACTATACCCTAGAGAGTACCTGCCTAAATTCTGAACTATTGTTTTCCATAAAAGGACCAACTAACATCCATGAAAGTGGGGTTGATTAGGAAAATAAATTTTAATCTATTAAAACATTTTTTGTTCTGGGGCCGGAGCAGTAGTACAGTGGGTAGAGTGCATTTACCTGCATGTGGTCAACCCGGGTTCCATCCCCAACATCCCATACTGTCCCCTAAGCACTGCCAGGTCTGATTCCTGAGTGCAGAGCCAGGAGTGATCCCTGAGCATTGCTGGGTGGCTCCAAATAAAAACCAAAAACCAAAAGCAAAAAAAAAATATTTCCCCCCTGCTACCTTCAATACTGAAATACTTACAGATTCTCCTTTTTGACCCTTAGTGCCAACAGGCCCTGGAAATCCTGGTTTTCCAGTTTCACCCTTTTAAGAAAAAGTAGAGAGATATTTTGCATGAGGTCACACGAGCATTGCTGTGACTGTCAGATTCAGAGATTGCTTGCAGGGCTCCTAACCATGGAATTTATCTATTTTCATCTAATAGACAACGGGAAGTTCTGCATCAAGTTAGGCACTTTGCATAATAATGTGTTTGTCAGCACTTCACAATGCCTCGAGGTCTTTTAGAAATCTTTATTACTCATTGTGATATTTAAAATTAGTTGAAACAAAAATTTTTTTCAAGGAAGAGCATCTAGAAAAAAAAATACTGCAATGTTGTTTTGTTGTCCCCAAAATGATTTTCTCTGATTCCGAAGACACCAGGTTAACTGGCACAATCATTCAAATTCACTTTTTTTTTTTAAATTTTGTTTCAGACATGTCTGTTTCTAGGTGCGGATTGTTGGAGAAGGGAGAGTCCTGTGAAGAAAACAGGGCCTCTCAGCTGTTTCCCGCTCTGATACTGCCGTGAGAATCATAGTCTGTGGACAAAGAGGCCATTCTTGTCAATGCAGTGACAGCAGCAGCTTAGAAATGTCTAAGATGTTTTTGTCAAACAACTTGAAGAGGATTTATATGTGAAATATAAAGACTGCTTTGAGCAACTACAATTTTAGAAATAATACTTGTGGAAAGGAGGAAAAATTCCACTAATCAGAGGCTTCAGAGAAATCTCAATATGGTTCTTCTTTCAGCTTTCCAAAGATCCTTGAATATCACGAAATTGTTATACTAATGTCTCCAACAGAAGTTATGTGATATTAAGGATTTTTGATTTGTTTTAATTTTTCAACATTACAATTATGGACATATTTTTATCTTCTATCTTTCCTATTTTTATTTAAAAATTACAAATACATAAAGTCAATTATGTCAAATTTCCATGTATCAGGACATCATTGACATCACTTGAAATGAAAAAACTAATAAAAAATTACAATGAAAGTTTTTCCTCTTTTCCTTCCTATTTTCCTTCTCTTTTCTTTTTCTAGAGGAACAGCTCTAATGCATTTAGTAATTCTCAGTTCATCTTTGCATTTTAGTTGTATATGTAGAAGCAATAGGTACATACTAAATGGGGTAGGACACAATTTTGAGGTCGTGGGGAACACATGGATGTGCCCAGGCCTTATTCCTGGCTCTGTGCTCAGAGTCACTCCTGCTAGTTCCCAGGGGACCATATGTGGTGTCAAGGATTGAAGTGAGGTTGGCCACACGCAAGGTAACGGCCTAACCTGTTGAACATGGTCTCTGGCTCATAAATTCATCTTATATATAACATTTTGTGACTTGTCTTTTTTCCACTCAGTGTCTGTAATTTTAGGTTCTATTTATGTACATTGATCAAGTCACTCATGCCATGGTTTAGCTAAACCTCACTGACATCTGTGTTGTCTCTATCTTTTCTCTTTTATAAATAATGGTGCAATGAGCACACCTGCTCTCTTGTGTGGATATGTTTATGTTTATTTTGAAGTCCCAAACAACAGACTACCTAAAGCACATCAAGTACAAATTTATTACAGTTCTAAAAACACTGGCTTATTTTTATATTTCTATCTTAATGATATCTTGATTTTAGACTAGAGGAAGAGGCAGCCTGTCAGACGTAATGGATAGACAAGATTGTGTTTTTATTAAGGATTCTTCTAGGTTTGTGAAATATATTTTTTAAATTTAATCTTCATTCTATGAATATAACTATCCTTTCTAACCTCTAAACATGGAGTGTACCATTAGTCTTATACTTACTGCACAGAGAAGCATTTTCCACCCCTAGAGATAAATTCTATCAGAAGTAAGAAAAAGTAAAAATTAAATATGAGAACTAATGCTGGTGGTCTGAATGAGAAAATAATTGAAAGAAAAAATAATTGGTTTTACACATGCATTCGTGTGTACAGAATGACCTTCCTATTCCTAGATTGCTGGTACTTAAATCACGTAGAAATTATAAAAATCACATGTTTAACAGCAAAGGGGCAGTGAAGAGGATTATACATGGAGGAAGATTGATTCTGCAAACAAAAGGATTTTAGACTTAAATCTTAGATACACATGAAGCTGTTTTTCTTATTTAAAATAGATTTTTGGTGATTTATTGCTGTGGATAGGAGTTGAAAGACAAGTGATGGATTTATTTAGCATTAGGAAAGGCTGCCTGTTAAGCTGACACTTTCTGTGCTATCTGAAATACTGGTGCTTCTGAGGCTCCATCTTCTCCCTATGACAGTCTGTCCTGAAAGACACCTGCGAATGTCTCAGCATCCTTAAAAATTCTGCAACCATCTTCCACTGTTACCCTAAAGGAAAAGTTTTTCTGAAGCACCTTGAAAACACATTTTTCTCTGCCCCATCCTGTCAGGTAAGCTTGAAAGCAGAAATCATCACTTCAATACTAACAGACTGGTCTCACAATGCCTCAGTCTCAGCTGCCATTTATCCTTGATAGTTGTACCCTTTGGTCTTTCTGCCTCTATCTTAGTGCATTTGATGTAAGATATGGTCGCCGTGCCAGGACTGATGTGTGTATAGATTCTAAGGCTGCATGCATTTGTTTCGGTACTTTATTATAATGTGGGGTTCCAAATAGCATTCTAAGTTTTTAAATTCTATTTTGTCAATTAGTGCTTTGAGAAGTGGCGTATTATGCAATTGTGATAAGCCATCTATGCCAAATGTACTTCAGGTTATTTTCTTTTTCTAAAACATCAATCAAATCTTGTCTCTATCAACATCATGGTGGAAGATGAGAGACCAGGTTTTAAGGATAGTGACAAGTAATTCTTAATACTAAAAGTCGATGAAGTGAGACCTCATGAGAGAAAAGGAAGTTTGAGGTAGATAGATGGAAAGGAACAGATCTCTGCGGAGGACTTCATGAGTGTCAGGCATGGTGGTTTTCATTCACTTCCCTTTCAGTGACAGTGATGTCGCACACAACTGTCAGTACTGCCCTGGAGATGACACACTGCACTGTCACACAAAGAGTCCCAGAGAGCCAAGGTGCAAGGACATGTGGCAGGCACTGGGGATTGAACGCATGTTCTCATGTTTGCAAAGCATGAGTTTTTGCCACTGAACCATCTCTAGAACCCTGGTCTGCTTTTAATTCTTCTTAAACTCTGCCCAAACATTGTAATCATTTTACAAATGGGGATCCATACCCAGAGAAGTAAAGTGGAGACATGGTTGATTAGTGGCTAAAATTAACTTGATGCCACAATCAACTTTTGGCACTAAAATTCTTGGTCTTTCCACTACTTGTGGTTTTTATCATGACTACCTCTTAAAATTCTCCCTTTTGTTTGTTTGTTTGTTTATTTATTTATTTATTTATTTATGCCACAGTCAGAGGTATTCAGGTCTTACCCTTGGCTCTGTGCTCGGGGATTGATCACTCCTGGCAATGTTTGGGAGGATCGTATTCAGGATGCTGGGGATTATACCTTAGTGGCTGCATGGTGCAAAGTCAATGTCTTACCCACTGTACAATTGCTCTGGTCCCCTAAATAATAGTGACATAAACCAATCCCTGGCAAACTGAATTATGGCATCATGCCAATCAGAGCCTCTGGGGATGGCAGAAGCATACTGGTTTCTCTTAAAAGATTTCCAGTAATTCCATTATGAATGGGCTGGAGCGATAGCACAGCGGTAGGGCGTTCGCCTTACAAGCGGCCAACATGGCCGACCCGAGTTCGATTCCTCCGCCCCTCTCGGAGAGCCCGGCAAGCTACCGAGAGTATTCGATATGCCAGACACAGTAACAACAAAGTCTCCATTGGAGACGTTACTGGGCCCGCTCGAGCAAATCGACGATCAACGGGAGGGCCTTTTTTTTTTTTCCATTATGAAACAAAGAGACCAGAATCATGTAGTCCACTGTAGGGGTCTGGAGTGATAGCACAGTGGGTAGAGCTTTTGATTTGCATGCGGCTGATATAGATTCAATCCCCAGCATCCTATATGGTCCACCCATGCACCACCAGGAGAAATTCCTAAGTGCAGAGCAAGGAGTAACCCTTGAGTATCACTGGGTGTGACTCCCTCAAAAATAAAAAAAAAGTTAAAAAAAAGAAAGAAAGTTCACTGTAGGAGGAAACAAAGATATCTGGGAGAAGTTTGAAGGAGCTATATATTTTCACCATGGTACTAACAAAGAAAATTATATTTCAAAAACTAATGTATTGATTCAGAACAGATACTAAATGGATGTGTATAGGCAATGGTGATCCTACTCTTCCATCAATTTTTCTGCTGTAATTTTAGTTCATTATATGCTTCATTTATTGGCATAGTTGATCTCTTACTAATTAAAATTCTTAAAAATCACCATATATATATTCATTTATCTCAGATATAACATTAAGCTCCCTGGAAACTCCTCTAGGTTATTGATTTGGGGTGGGAGGAGGGAACAGTTATGCCACTAGCTTTCTCCAATTCCACTTAAAATTCTAAAGCAATTAAAAAAGATTTTAGAAATAGAAAAGTTCCCTCGAGTTTGAAATACACCTGTTTTACAGAATCAAATTTCTTATCATCAAGGTCTCAAGAATTCCTAAGTAACATATGTTTCCTAATGAACACAGCCAAACAGAAGCCAGCTGTTTTGTTTCAAGAAATGAATCATCATTTAAATACTTTATCAGTATCATAGCTCTCTTCTTAGCTCAGCTGTCCTATGTGACAAGCTCTGTGACTTCCTTTTTATTTATTTATTTATTATTTTTTTCCCCTCTAGCATGCTTGTGTCCATTGTAATTGCTTAAAATGTAATGCACTCGTTAGGGAACTGTGAAAATTCTGGAAGCTATCAGGTTTCAGGAAATAATGTTAATGTGCTATACACATAACTGACTTATTGTTGCTGTGTAATAAATTCTTTGGATGTCTTTTTAAGAATGTCAGGAATGTATTAATTTATTTTTTTGCAGAAAATTTCATTTTCAATGGTCAATCTAAGTGTAGCTCCTAGCTTCTTACTGAGACTGACTATCTCTTAGCAGTATTTTCTGGTGATGGATGTGTGATCTTTTGAATAGATGGTTGTACGGATTTATAAGGAACAGAAGTCATATTTTCTTGGATTCATGTTGAAATACCCTGTCCTCAATCAAGAAAATTTTTACTGGGTGAATGAATGAAGGTACATTCACAGGCTCTATTCTCCCGGAGTATTTCATTCCTACTTATCTCTGTAGATTTAATGTGTATTGTTTTTTTTTCCCTGACAATGGTGCAGTCACACTGAATCCAAGGTCATGACAATTTCAGAATCAAACAAGAGTGAATCATCTTTTTGAGTGGGTAAGTGAATCTGTCATCTTCACAGCTAATATAATTAAACCTGTGAATAGTGACAATTAAAATGCAAAGGAAATTCATCAGTGTTTTTAATTTTAAAAGTGCTTTGAAATAACTATTTGGTTAAATCATGAGAACACATTATAACCCCCCTCTCTCCCTACCTACCCTCTGCACACAGTATCCTCACCATAGTGTATCTTTAGTACTTAATAAGGCACAAAAATAAAATATTCAAGCCTGAGACATGTTGCAAAAGGGTGTTGAGATTTTTTTTGCCACCAAAACTATTTTTTTTTGTCTTTTGAGTCACATCCGTCGATGCACAGGGGTTACTCCTGGCTCTGCACTCAGGAATTACCCCTGGCGGTGCTCAGGGGACCATATGGGATACTGGGAATCGAACCTGGGTTGGCCGTGTGCGAGGCAAATTCCCTACCTGCTGTTCTATTGCTCCAGCCCCAAAATTATTCTTGAAAGAAGCTTGAGTCGTAATTTCCTTTACCTTGTTGCAATGATCCCTGACTCATTGACTTCCTTGTTTGTGGCCAATTGCTACTCAGCAGGCTTCATTGAGGAGTTGTCTCTGCACCACCTGCCAATCTTGCTGCCAAGATGGAGGGGGACTGTGCCCACTGCAGGCCAATGACTTCCCTAGCCAGGATGCCCCATATTCAGCAGTGCTTCCCCAGAGGTGCAAATGTGGACTTGTTTTGGAATCCCAGATATTTCCTTTGGCGCTGGAAATCGGCTTACCTTCTCTCCTTTTGGGCCACCAGCTCCATGCTCACCCTAGGTAAACACAAAACATAGTAAGTCTATTTAGTGGCTGATGCATCCAGGCCTAAGATTTTATTTTATTATTTTTTAAAAATATTTTTATTTTATAAGGTGATTCACAATATTTGATTACAGTTAATATTCAAACACCAATCCCACCACCATTACACCTTCCTACCACAAAATTTGGGATGTTTTCGTCCCAGGCCCCAATCCCTATCCCAAAGCACTGTCCTGTAGCACTGTCTTCCCGTTGTTCATCGATTTGCTCGAGCAGGCACCAGTAACGACTCACAACAAATTGTTACTGTTTTTGGCATATTGAATATGTCATGGTGAGCTTGCCAGGCTTTGCCATGTGGGCGAGATACTCTTGGTAGCTTGCCAGGCTCTCCGAGAGGGGCAGAGGAATTGAACCCGGGTCAGTCACATACAAGGCAAATTCCCTACCCGATGTGCTATCGCTCCAGCCCAAAGCACAACCGAAATAATATATTTTGTATTGTCTGTTATGGAAAACTGTCTTATGATGTGCTGCGCAGCTGTATTCCAGGAATATGTTCACTCGTACATGAGGCTTGACCCGAGTATGTGGGGAACAGCCTTGAGTGTGGCGGTGGTTGGGTTCTGGAGGTTTTCAGCTACCAGGGCTGGGTCCCTTCGGGCCTAACATTTTAATTGCAGGTAGTCTGATCACTGTTCACTACCAGTTCTTTTATGGATAGCATTTCAATCCCTTTGCCTCTTTCTCTCTTCTGCTAAATATTTCTGAAAAAATGATAACTTTGGAGAATCTCCTGTGTCACTTCCCCTGGAGATGATTTAGGAGAAGAATGAAACATCTAGGGGTAAACTGCCATGACTCCAAACTGATCAGGTGATTTTAGTGGGTGCTTCTAGCAAGTGGTATGCATGCTACAAAGTGTTCTCTTTGCTTATTTTCCTTTCCATGTGCACATATTACATGAATTTCAACATTTGAAGTCCATTTTTTTATTACTTTATCCCTATTATTTGAACGTTGTTATATTGTTTTCTAAATGCTAATTGGGACTCCACTTTCCCCTGTAAATCTACCAATCCTCCTCCTGAATTCACACATGATTGTAGCCAATGGTGGTCCCTTTCCTCATGGGTGATTGTTGTCTCCCAGGCCTTTGGTCTTCTAAGAAGATTTTTCTTACAATCACCTATTGGCATTTGGTAAAACAGTCTAATTTGTTAGATAAAAAAAAGCTACAATTTTCCAGTTTTTAAGATTTCTTATTCTATTAGCCCATCCTATCTTCTTCAAACAAACACACACAGCTCTTTGGACACACATTTTCTCCATCTTTCTTTCATATCAACCATATGATTTTTTTCCCCAAAGGTCAGCTAATGCTTATTGGTTCCCAATGACTAATTTAATAAACCTTAGGCATGCTTTTTATGGATAGTAGGCCCTTACCTCCCCCTCCCCCTTCTGTAGTCTTTACGTTTACAAAATTGAGGTGACACTGGATTATAGATTATATAATTTTCAGAAGTGTATCACTGTAAGTCAACATATATATATATATATATACATATATATATTACATTAAGTTCAGCACAAAAAGTCTAAGTCTGTCATTCACCAAATGTTTTTATTTTTTCTTTTGTCCCAATGTACCATCCTCTTCCACTTTCCCTTACATGACCACTATCATTATCACTATCCTCCCATCGTTCATTGATTTGCTCCAGTGAGCCCAGTAACATTGTGAGACTTGTTACTGTGTTTGGCATATCAAATATGTCATGGGGAGCTTGCCAGGCTTTGCCGTGTGGGCGAGATACTCTTGGTAGCTTGCCGAGCTCTCTGAGAGGGGCGGAGGAATCAAATCCGGCTCGGCCAGCTGGGCTGGCTGGATGCAAGGCAAACGCTCTACCACTCTACTATTGATCTTATATGCCAAATGTTTGCTGTTGTTTTATGTAGTTCCTGTTTGTTTCCTTTTTCTTGTTTTTTCGGAGGGGAGGTACATGTGGTCTGCACTCAAGAATTACACCTGGTGGTTCTTGGGGGACCATATAGGATGCCAGGGATCAAATGGGTTGGCTGAGTGCAAGACATGCACCTACTCTCTGTACTATCACTCCAGTCCTCATCTGTTTGCTTTCTCTACATACCATGTCATAATGGGCTGGAGCGATAGCACAGTGGGTAAGACATTTGCCTTGCACGCGGCAGACTGGAGTTCGACGCCTCCGCACCTGTCAGAGAGCCTCACAAGCTAATGAGAGTATCTCACCTGCACCACAAAGTCTGGCAAGCTACCCGTGACATATTCGATATGCCAAACACAGTAACAAGTCTCACAATGGAGACATTACTTGGGCCCGCTCGAGCAAATTGATGAACAAGGGGAGGACAGTGCTACAGTGCAGTGCTACCATGTCATAATGCTGCAATAAGCATAGGAGTTTATATGTCTCTTTGGATTATTATTTTTGTATTTGGAGGTAAGTCACCAACAATAGGATAACCGGAGCATAGGGAATTTTAATTTCATTTTTCTTAAGATTTCCATACTGTTTTCCATAATGATTGTACCCATTTACATTTCAAGCAATAATGTATAAAGGTTCTGTTCACAACCAAGACCTGTTTCTTGCCTTTTACAGATTAGATATTCTCCCGGTTATAAGATCATATATGAATGTTGGGGTATTTTTTTTGTTTGCTTGTTTTTTTTTTTGCTTTTGGGCCACACCTGGAAATTTTCAGGGGTTGCTCCTGACTCTCTACTCAAGAATTACTTCTGGCAGTGCTAGAGGACCATAGGGGATCCCAGCGATTGAATCCAGTTTGGCTGCATGTAAGACAAGCACACTACCTACTACACTACCTACTGTATTACCATCTCTCCAGCTTGGTAGCTAAATGTTTTGAGTTTTCCACATAATGAGATATGATAAACATTAGTCATCTGTATTCCACTGGAGAAGTGTCCAAATTATCTGCCATTTTTTCAATCTACCATATACATATATATAATAGTTGAGATTTAAGTTGTTTGTCTATTTTGGGTGTTGATAATTTGTCAGATGTATGGTATTCAAAATGCTTCTCTCATCCAGTATTATATGCTTCTATTTTTTTTTGTATTCATAAAGACAAAAAAAACAACTTGCACAAAAATTTGTAAATCTACAACTGTACCTCATGGTGTTTCACTAACAAAAATTTTTTTTTTCTTTTTTATTAGTGAAACAACACGAGGTACAGTTGTAGATTTACAAATTTTGTGCTTGGATCTCGGTCATACCACGATCAAATACCCATCCCTCCACCAGTGCCCATTTTCCACCACCAGGATAATATCCCTCCCCCCCATCCTCCCATCCCCCCATCCCCCCCTGCCACTGTGGCAGGGCATTCCCCCCTGTTCTCTCTCTCCTCCTGGGCGCTGTGATCAGCCAAAGAGGCATTGAGTGGCGAACATGTTCAGTCCAGTCTACTTTCAACCTGCATCTCCCCTCCTGGGAGGATCCTCCAAACACCCTCCACTTGGCGTTCCCCTCTCCATCTGAATTGTCCTTTCCCCTAGAATACCCAGCTGGCCTCTAAGTTATGGAGTAATTCTCCTGGTGTTGTGGGTATTAATCTCATATTTTATTATTTTATATCCCCCAGATGAATGCTATCTTTCTATGTCTATCCCTCTCTTTCTGACTCATTTCGCTTAGCATGATACTTTCCATATTGTACCACTTGTATGTAAAGTTCGTGATTTCATCTCTTCTAAGAGCCACATAGTACTCCATTGTGTAGATGTACCAAAGTTTCTTTAACCAGTCATCTGTTCTTGGGCACTCAGGTCTCTTCCAGTTTCTGGCTACTGTAAAGAGTGCTGCAATGAACAAACAAGTGCAGATGTCCCTTCGGCTACACGTTTTTGCCTCTCTGGGATATATTCCCAGGAGTGGTATCGCTGGGTCAAATGGGAGCTCAATTTCTAATTTTTTGAGGAACGTCCATACTGTTTTCCAGAAGGGCTGAACCAGTGGAAATTCCCACCAACAGTGAAGGAGTGTCCCTTTCTCGCCACATCCGCGCCAGCATCGGTTGCTTTTGTTCTTTTGAATGTGGGCCAGTCTCTGAGGTGTGAGATGATATCTCATTGTGGTTTTGATCTGCATCTCCCTGATGATTAATGATGTAGAGCATTTTCTCATGTGCTTTTTTGCCATTCGGATTTCTTCTTTGAGAAAGTTTCTGTTCATTTCATTGCCCCATTTTTTGATGGGGTTGGATGTTTTCTTCTTGTGGAGTTCGACCAGTATTTTGTATATCCTTGATATCAACCCCTTGTCAGATGTGTATTCGGCGAATATTCTTTCCCATTCTGTAGGCTGTCTTTGTATTTTGGTCACTGTTTCTTTGGAGGTACAGAAGCTTCTTAGTTTAAGATAGTCCCATTTATCTATCTCTGTTTTCACTTGCTCAGCCAGTGGCGTGTCATCTTTGAACATACCATTAGCCTCAATGTCATGGAGGGTTTTGCCAACTTTGTCTTCAATGTATCTTATGGTTTCTGGTCTGATGTTGAGGTCTTTAATCCATTTTGATCTTACCTTTGTACATGGTGTTAGGCAGAATTCTGAGCCCATTTTTTTGCATGTAGCCGTCCAGTGATGCCAGCACAATTTGTTAAAGAGGCTTTCCTTACTCCACTTCACATTTCTTGCACCTTTATCAAAGATTAGATGATCATATGGTTGGGGGGTGATGTCAGTGTATTCAACTCTGTTCCATTGGTCTGCAGTTCTGCCTTTGTTCCAGTACCATGCTGTTTTGATTATTACCGCTTTGTAGTAAAGTTTGAAGTTCGGGAGGTTGATTCCTCCCATTTTCTTTTTCCCAAGAATTGCTTTAGCTATTCGTGGGGGTTTATTATTCCATATAAATTTCAGGAGTGTTTTCTCCATTTCTTTGAAGAATGTCATGGGTATCCTTATAGGGATTGCACTGAATTTGTACAGTGCTTTCGGTAGTATTGCCATTTTGACAATGTTAAGTCTTCCGACCCATGAGCAGGGGATGTCTTTCCATTTCCTCATGTCCTCTTTTATTTCCTGAAGTAGCGTTTTGTAGTTTTCTTTGTACAGGTCCTTTACTTCCTTAGTTAAGCTGATTCCTAGGTACTTGATTTTCTGGGGCACAATTGTGAACGGGATTGTTTTTTTCATGATGCTTTCTTCTCTCTCACTGTTTGCGTATAGGAAAGCCATGGACTTTTGTGTATTGATTTTATAACCTGCAACTTTACTATACGAGTCTATTGTTTCTAGGAGTTTTTTGGTGGAGGTTATTGGGTTCTCTAAGTATAGTATCATATCATCTGCGAATAGTGAGAGCTTTATTTCTTCCTTTCCTACCTGAATGCCCTTAATGTCTTTTTCTTGCCTAATTGCTATTGCAAGTACTTCCAGTACTATATTGAACAGCAGTGGAGATAGTGGGCATCCTTGTCTCGTCCCTGATCTTAGAGGGAAGGCTCTCAGTTTTTCCCCATTGAGGATGATGCTTGCTGTAGGCTTGTGGTAGATGGCTTTAACTATGTTGAGGAAAGTCCCCTCTATGCCCATTTTGGCTAGGGTTTTCATCATAAAGGGGTGCTGGATCTTGTCAAATGCTTTCTCTGCGTATATTGATATGATCATATGCTTTTTATCTTTTCTTTTGTTGATATGATGGATTATGTTGATTGATTTCCGAATGTTGAACCATCCTTGCATCCCTGGGATGAATCCTACTTGGTCATGGTGTATGATCTTTTTGATGAGTAGTTGGATTCTATTTGCTAGTAGTTTGTTGAGGATCTTTGCATCTGTGTTCATCAGGGATATCGGCCTGTAGTTCTCTTTCTTTGTGTTATCTCTGTCTGCTTTTGGTATCAGTGTGATATTTGCTTCATAGAAACTGTTCGGAAGTGTATTTGATATTTCAATTTCATGGAAAAGCTTAAAGAGGATTGGGAGTAAGTCTTCTTTAAAGATTTGGAAGAATTCACTGGTGAATCCATCCGGGCCAGGGCTTTTGTGCTTGGGGAGACTTTTTATTACCATTTCAATTTCCTTGATGGTGATAGGTCTGTTCAGGTATTCCAGGTCTTCTTGGTTCAGCCTTGGGAGTCTGTAGGAGTCTAGGAATTTATCCATTTCCTCGAGGTTTTGATGTTCTGTGGCATAAAGCTTTTCAAAGTACTCCCTGAGGATCCTTTGAATTTCTGTAGTTTCTGTTGTAATGACCCCCTTTTCATTTCTGATTCGGTTTATTAGGGTTTTCTCTCTCCCTTTCTTTGTGAGTTTTGCTAGGGGCTTATCGATTTTGTTAATTTTCTCAAAGAACCAGCTCTTGGTTTCATTGATCTTTCGGATTGTTTTCTGGGTTTCCATCTCGTTAATCTCTGCTCTGAGTTTTATTATTTCCTTCCTCCTGTTAGGGTTGTGCTCCTTTTGTTGGTCCTTCTCTAAGTTCTTAAGCTGTGAGGTTAGTTTATTTATGTGGGCTCGCTCCTCCTTCCTGAGGAATGCTTGTAGAGCTATAAACTTTCCTCTTAAGACTGCTTTTGCTGTGTCCCATAGGTTTTGGTAACTCGTTTCCTCGTTTTCATTCGTTTCTAGGAATCTTTTGATTTCCTCTTTAATTTCCTGTCTAAGCCACTCGTTGTTTAATAGCGCACTGTTTAATTTCCATGTGTTTAATTTAGTTTTCTGTTTTTGTGTGTGATTTACTTCTAATTTCAGCGCATTATGGTCTGAGAAGATTGTTGATACAATCTCTATCTTCTTAATTTTTTGGAGGCATGTTTTGTGGCTCAGCATGTGGTCTATCTTGGAGAATGTTCCATGTACGCTTGAGAAGAATGTGTATTGAGCTTTTTGTGGATGAAGTGTCCTGTATATATCTACTAAGCCCCTTTCTTCCATTGTTTCCCTCAGATGAAGTATGTCCTTGCTAAGCTTGAGTCTGGTTGATCTATCAAGAGGTGACAAAGCGGTGTTGAGGTCTCCCACTAGTATTGTGTTGCTATCGATTTCTTTTTCCAAATCTATGAGTAGTTGTTTTAAGTACTTTGCTGGTCTCTCATTAGGTGCATATACATTTATTATTGTAAGTTCTTCCTGTTGTACAGATCCTTTGGTCAATAGGAAATGACCTTCACTGTCTCTTATGACCTTCTTCACTCTGAAATCGATGTGGTCTGTTATTAGGATAGCTACCCCAGCTTTTTTCTGGGAGCTGTTTGCCTGTAGGATTGTTTTCCAGCCTTTGACTCTGAGTCTGTGTTTGCTTTGACTATTGAGATGTGTTTCTTGCAGGCAGCAGAATGTTGGGTTCAATTTTCTAATCCATCCTGCCACTCTATGTCTCTTAATTGGTGCGTTTAGCCCATTGACATTGAGAGAGATTATTGTTATGGGATTTTGTCCCATTGTTCTGTTGAAATTTGGTGTATTTGAGAGGTCTGTCTTGCCTTAAAGTAGCCCATTTAGTTGTACTCGTAACCATGGTTTTGAGTCTATGAAGTTCCTGAGCTGCTGTTTGTCCGTGAAACTGTGTGTTTTTCCTTCTATTATGAATGAGAGTCTCGCTGGGTAAAGTATTTTTGGAGAAGCATTTATTTCATTGAGTTTTTTCACTATGTCCCACCACTGTTTTCGGGCCCTGAGGGTTTCATCAAAAAAATCAGCAGTGAATTTTAAGGATGCTCCTTTGTAAGAGATTTCTTTCTTCGATCTTGCTGCTTTCAGAATTTTGTCTCTGTCTAAAGTTTTGGTCATTTTGATCAGGATGTGTCTTGGGGTATTTTTATTCGGATTTCTTCTAGCCGGTACCCTTCGGGCCTCCTGGATGTGGTCACAAGTTTTCTTCAGCTCTGGAAACGCTGTAGCAATGATTTCTTTGACAGTTTCTTCTTCGTCAAGGTTTTCTTCCCGTCCCTCTGGGACTCCAATAATTCTTATGTTACCCCTCTTGGCTTCATCACGATCTTCTCTTGCCATCTGTTCTCGAACTGTGAGTCTCTTTTCCATTTTCTGCTCTTTTCTGACAAGACTCTGAACTTGATCTTCGAGCTCACTGATTCTGTTCTCAGCTGCTGTTACTCTGCTGCTGAGGCCTTCCACTGAGGTTTTCAATTCGGCTACCAGGTTTTTCAGGTCCGACATTTCCGATTGCATTTTCCTCATTTCTGCCTTCAAATCCTCTTGTCTTTTATTGGCATTGGTTTCCATTGTTTCTTTTAGTTCCCTAAGCATCCTGAGTAGCTCCATTCTGAATTCCTTGTCAGAGAGGTTGTCTAACGCTATAGTACTGTTGGTGTCGTCTGGGCTAGCCTCGTGAATAAGAAAGTTTGGTGGGCTTTTGCGTTGCTTTACCATTGTGACCAGTGTGGTTTGGTCCTTCACACTCGCTGCTACTGTTCTAGTTGAGTGAGGAGAGGCTGCCAGGAGCCGTTCCGCTTTGTTGCTGGTAGATGCGCCTCTTTTACCTTTCTGAGTCTGACCTTCTTCTCAATCAGGCGTTATTCTTTGTTTTATAACTGACATTGAGTGAAACTTTTGGAGGCGTTACTATTTACTACTGAACTTGTATAGCTATTTTCCAACTGAACTTTACTAACAAAAATTTTTAAAAAATGTAAATGATGGAGAATGGGCACTGGTGGAGGGATAGGTACTGGATCATTGTGTAACTGAAATCCAAGCACAAAAATTTGTAAGTCTACAACTGTACCTCATGGTGTTTCACTAATAAAAATTATAAAAATTGCTTCTATTTTGATGCAAGCTACTTTCACCATGTAGGAGCTTTTCAGTTTGATAAGATCACATCGCATAGTTTTGCTCTTGTTTCCGTACCTATCTCTAAGACTGATATTGAGAATTTTTCTACCTATATTTATTTCTGCAAATTTATGGTTCACTACTTGCATTCGATGTTTGAGTTAATTCACTTTGAATCAATTTTCTTTTGTATGGTAGTAGGTAATGGGTCTAGTAAAATATACAAATTTGAGAAACTAACAGAACACTATCGTGTTTAAATGAGAAAGAACCTTTACTTTTAAAACTTGTAAATTTTTTCTCTATCCCTTCAAAATATAAAACTCCTTAAAAGCCTTTTACCAATTTAAAAACCCAGGAATGTCTATTTTAAGTATCTTAGGGAATTTACCTTTGAAATGAAATCATCAAGCAAAGTGAACCCCCTATTTCTCTGTCTCTTTAGGAGGGTAGGAGTGTAATTTCAGTGGAGGCTTCCATCTATTCTGAACACTACCATTCTCCCTATTTATTTAGTATAATAAGTCTAGCTTCTTCTCTAAAATCTCCAAGTCACTTGTTTTCATTCTGGGCAGGCTGCCATTACATTCTTCCAGAATCATTGCAATAGTTCCCTATTCTTGCAAGAGGTTCTTTACAGTGGACATATCACACATACACAAGCATAAACACACACTACAAACACATATTTTCTGATCAAAAAGGATCTTTCAAAAACATTTACCTCTGATTACCCTAAACTTTAATAAAATTATCAAGATCCAATGTGATGAGAACTCATTTCCATCTCATCTTTTTTACTGGAGTGTAAATTCTATGGTAAACTGGGCTTGAATACCTAGCCTAGGCTGTGCCTGATATATAGAACACATACAATAATACTTGAATATATAAGCCTGTAATTATAATCAGTATTTTACCATTAGAGTTTTTAAATTAACAATACATAAAGGCCAGGAGATGTAGTTCAGTGGTAGAGTACATGCCTCACTTATCCTGGGCTTGACACCTGGCACCACACATGCAATAACATTTTCTACGTCTGATGTAGAAAAAGTGAAAAGTATAAAAATTAAGAAGTGTTTTACAACAAAAATACACAGAGGTGTTATCTAGATAAATGCTGCTATGGTTTCACACTTTAAATGTGCTTTTATGACTTTTCAATAAAAAATCTGTAGTTTATAGCTGCCACAAGTTTGGTCTTATGCAGATATTCTCTCATTTTACTACTTTGAAATATGTAAAATCAAAGTTAAAATTGTTTCCTAAAATTACTGAGCTAGAAATTATTTAAAATTTTAATATAAAATTTTATGCACATGCACACATACAAAAAGAATTAGAAGTTACAAAACAAAAGGCTGATTGGATGTAACTTATAAAGAATAAAAAATTTTATACATTTCCTGAATATGCTAGTCATTTGGGCAAGGTATCTGAAAATGTATAGCCCATCAGTACCTCTCCTTGACTATGATTATTCTAGGACATTTTTAGGAAATCTGGTAGATGTTTTGTCAAGATATAAACACCCAGAGTCTCTGTATTGGGATGCTTCATGCTTTTAGACAGCAAAGTTAATAATAATCTCCAAAGTATGTCTTATGACAAAAGATTCTAATTATGAATCTTGGTTTAGATCCTCCTCCCCATTTAATGTTCCTTACCCTTCAACAACCTAGAATCTTTAGAAATAGCTTCCTCGGGGTTGGAGCGATAGCACAGCAGGTAGGGCATTTGCCATGCATGCAGTCAACCAGGTTTGATTCCCAGAATCCTGTATGGTCCCCTGAGCAACATCAAGAGTAATTTCTAAGTGCAGAGCCAGGAGTAACTCCCGTGTGACCCAAAAAGAAAAAAAAAGAAATGGCTTACTCAAAAATTTTCAGATTGGCATTTTTTTTCAGGATATTTAGAACAGACTGTTTTCAATATGTATCAATGTTGGCACAGGTAAAGGGATTTAAGGACAATAAGAACCTCTGTTGATTTTGGGAGAAAAGATTACCATAACCTAAAGGATGAAGACTATCAAGATTTAGGGTCATCTATATAAATAGCACTTTTTATCAGAGGAGTCAGCATTCAAGGAACCCAACACATAGAATAGCTGGTTTGAGCAAAGAGAGACATCCCTTCCACACTATGTGAGATCACCTCATCCCTCCTTAGCAGCCCAGGCTCTGTTCCGTTCCTAAGACCAGGATTTAGATCTCCAATCTGCCCCATGTATTTTATAATTTACACCCACATAAGTTCATCGTATAAATGTACTTTGTTTTGCCTTGAACTAATCTATTCATTTTTTTTGTCTTATCAGAGAAAACGAGGGGCTTGGGTAGTGTTGGCAAGGGCAGAGATGTTGTGGTAGGGATGAAGAAATGTGTCTGCGGTACTCATACTATTCTAGCCATATGGTGCACTGTTTTAAAATACAGCTTTCTGGTAGCTTTCACACACAAAAATAAAGGAACACTTATTGCCTACCCAACCACCATAAGTTTGTTTCACTAAGTAGGTAGGCCACAAAAAATCCATCAAATTAAGGACAGTGAGTGACCTCTGAAAATGACCTTCATTTTTGGATTAAGACTACTTAAGAAATAAAACTTAACTATAGTACACTATGTTTATTGTCATGTGAACATATTCTTACTACTTTTTATGAATCAACTACAAAAACTATTTGACTCTACAGAAGTAATAAGAAACACAATCCTTATGTTTTTGGAACTTGAAGTTCTGCCTCAATATTCTAATTTTACTAAGTTATTACAAAACCTCAGTACCATGTTTTTAATGGTATAATACATATAATAGTTGTACTTTTAATTTGTTTATATAAAATATTTCTGAGGTCAAGTGTTAAGTACAGTAATGTGTATGTGTGTTTGGAGGTAATATATTAATCTTCAAGAATTCTGGGATGCTAAAATATTTCCTTTGTTCTCTGATGGGAAATTGCAAATGGAAGCTTTGGAACCTATCGTCAGGCACGTGGAAAGATTCAAGCTTTAGTAACTGCGATGAGGTCATTATTCTCTGGAAAGAAGGGAATGCATCTGGCCATATTTAAATTGAACATAGGCAATGGCCATTTCTGTTGACTACAAATACTCAAAATCAGAAATTTCTGTGGTTTAGGAAAGAGATCAATGATACAAACTGCCTTCCAGGACATAAAATTTCCCAGCTTAGTGCTATAAAATCTTGCTATAAAATCCTAGGAATAACTGGGAATAAAGTTTAAAAACAGGTTACCTTTTATGGGCTGAATCGTATTTCTCCCCAAATTCCAATGTTGAAGTCCTAACCAAAACTTCAGAATGTTATCTTATTTAGAAATAAGATCTTTGTGAATATCCTTAGGTAAGATGAGGTGATACTAGAGTGGGGTGGCCCACTAAATCATTATGATTAGTTCCCTATAAAAACAAAATTTGGAGAGTTCCATGTGAAGATGGGTATTTTGTCAAGCAAGGATCAGAAACTAGAAGCCAAAGCAAAGTCTGGAACACTTCTTCATACTTTCCAAGAAAGACATGAAGCTGCAGACTCCTTCATTTTAGATGTTCAGCCATCAGAACTCAGACAACAAATTAGGGGCGTTTAAGCCATTCAGCTTGTGATATGAATTAAGCAGCCCTAAGAAGGTAGTATAATAGATACTTAATTGGAAATAAGACCTAATGCTGACTCTAAGTGCAATCTCTCAGTTACCAGAAAGAAAACATTTTCCAAACTACAATGGAGAGGGAGAACACCCAGGTCAATTTTAGAGTCCTCTAATAGAACTACATCTAAAAATCCATATGCCAGTACTCAAATTCAAGGTGTTCCCCAAAGGTCCTTGATCCTGTGAAAGACACACACATAGTGAGTAAGAGACACTGTCTCCTGGACACAGTGAGCTACAGAGTCATGACTTGAATTTTGATTTTGAATCTTCCAGACCCAGAAGAACTGACTCTTTTAACTCCAAGGAAGCCCTTGCCTTCAGTGTTTTTGTTGAGTTTAACTCACTGTTTGGAAAGATTTTGTATATCTGCTTTTGGAAACATGTTTTCTGTCCTTTCCACTGGGTGGATATTAAAATGAAGTTAAGATTTTATACATGAAAGGAAAAATAGATTATTTTGCTAGCAAATTGGTTTTTTTGGATCAACAATTTGGAGAAGTGAATACTAGAATTGGTTGCTGGGAGGCACTGCATCAATCTCCAACAGCTGAGACTGATTCTCTGCAAATTGCACAGTGAGGTGATGTAAGATAACACAACTCTGCATTTTCAATGTGGATCTTTAAAAACAATACCAAATGTAAAATCCACTAGCACTGCGCCTCCATCGATAACACATTTTTCACCTCCTTCTAGAGTGTTGTATGGCTTGGGATCTGACAGACCCTATCAAATTTTTATTAAAATCCCTAGAGCTGAAGACAACGAAGAGCTGTTTGCTGGATCATGAACAGATTTTCCTTAAGGGAAAGAAAATGCTCAATTTCTTTGCTTCTTTGCAAACCATCATGCAGAATGGGCGCAGCTGTTTGGCAGATTGTTTTTGTGATGGAGGGGAAAATCTACCTTTTATTTTTTGCATCTTTAAGTGGCCATGCAAAAATACATATAAACATGCTTATCTAATCTTCCAGTCCTTATACCTTAATCCCTGTCTATTCCTCTCTCTCTCTCCTCTCTCTCTCTCTCTCTCTCTCTCTCTCTCTCTGTTTTCCCTTCTTCTTCTCTTTTTGATTTGTGGAATGAGAAAAGGAAGTTTTATATACCCGAGCATCTGTTTCTGGATGAACAAGGGGCATTTTAGGAGAAAAAAGAATCAACTCTTGTATAGGGGTCAAGGGGCAATCCTTTTGCCTTTGAAGTTCCTGGAAAAAGAGAATGAACCATGGGAATTTTTATTTGAGAGAAAGATAGAGAAGGAGAGAGAAAGGGAGGGAGGAAGAGAGGGGGGAGGAAGGGAGGGAGGGAGGGAGAGATGGAGGGAGGGAGAAAGGAAAGAAGGAAATGGAAGGAAGGAAGGAAGGAAGGAAGGAAGGAAGGAAGGAAGGAAGGAAGGAAGGAAGATTCTATGCTTAGGCTTAGCCTGCTACTTGTCCTCTCAGGATCACTGCTTCAGCAGAATCTGGGCTGTGAAAACGGCGAGAGCTGCTGTGAGCTGAGACGCTGAGGTCCAGGACTCAAGAGCAGACATTACATAAATCAATGTCAATTTAAGAGGGGAGATTCTTTTAACCTTGGACTGTCACTTGATATGTCTCAATACATGGCCCATGATTTAATCTGCAGGAAGGTTTCTCTCACCCCCCCCCCCCCCCCAACCACCCGCCTCCTCCTGCACTCATCTGCCACTTGCAAACAGACCAATATGCCTAGCATGATGTTCAAAATAGAACCACCACAGTCTCCAAAAGCAGACAGAGGTGGGTAAATGGAGACTGTGCCAAGTGAAAACATGCACGTAACTCAATATGGCACACTTGGTGCCTTCCTTTGTGAGATTGAGGGTAAAGAGGATGAGATGGTGTAGGTACCGGGGAATGGATCCTGCCTCCTCCATCAATCCTGGTGGGACCTCATGTAATGACTCCAACTACTACTCTGAGAAGGAAACAGAACAAAAGGCAAGAAGTCATCTTTTATTAATTCCCAGATGGTCTAACGGTCTAACGGATGCTGATGCTACGTGGTTACAATGTATGTGTGGGAGAAGAAAAGCTCCGAGGTCTTCTCTTTATCCCTCTATGCTCCAGCTCTAAAGTCATACTTTGACATACATATAACTGCAGGCCTAAGACCTACAATGGCACTAACGACAATTGGGGTTCTTCTGGGCATGGGGGCGTTGAGGGTGGGGGGTGCGGGGTGGTGTTTGCATCAACCACTAAGTTTAAAGTCCTGATTTGCTACTGGCAAGACTATTTGACAACTCTGGTCAGTCACCATTTTTGGAAATATAACTTTAAGGTTTATAAATTTCAGTCTAAGTTTTAGACTCTAAAATATAAATGCTCCATATATCTTCATTTAAGGAAAAACTGACTCACAGGTAAAATGAAATATATATATATATATATCGGAAGTAGTGTTGAGAGACCTGTAAAGATATGAGCCTAAAAAGTTTTGCAAGGGATAGCAAATATTTTAGTAGCTGAATAGCTGCTTGGTAAATTTTATATTAGGGATTACGGCAATAAAGTATGCTATTTAAGTTATTCTAGCTGACACTGTGACATCAGAGCCAACTCATTATGTTGAAGCATTTATGATAAATCCAATTTTGTAACAGTAGATGTCACTACAAAAAAAATCACTACATTTTAATTAATTCTAGATATGCTTTGCTGTCTTTTCTTTTTTCTCTTGTTCCAAGTGCTAATGTCTAGAAATAGCCAGTGCAGATATATTCAGAAAATGTTTAATGACAAATCAGAAGAATCAGAAAAGGTTTGGAGTTTAGCTCAGTGGTAGAACAAAAGCCTTGTGTGTGTAAAGCCCTGGCTCCAATTCTCAGCATCACACATATACAAAAAAGAAAAATATGTTGCAAGCATGCTTTCTAAAATAATCCTTACTTGAAAATACAATTGAATCAGAACATTTATGACAGGGTTATTTAAGAAGCATAACAAATTTTCCATACTTGCGAATTTAAGTTTATAAGCTACTAATTATCTAGGCATCTATGGAGAACTTAAGGTCATAAGAGAATTGGTATTTTAAAATTCATTATCTTGAAACTTAATACATGCTTTATTTCTGAGCACCTTTTAACTTCAATGTCTCCCCTGGCACAGCATATCTCTTTGGAATTATTAAACCGAGATGAACACCAGTAATTAGAGAAATTTATAGGAAGGAAAATGATGAACAGAGGGTAAAAAGGAGAGTGTGTGTCTTCAGTTGGTTTCTACAGAGCGGGATAATTACTCAGAGAATATGAATGAGGTTATTACGTCCATAAGGATCCCAGGAAATAGGCAAAAGGCCTCACACAAAAAGATCACACCCCAAATATTTATAGCTGAATAAGTCAGTCAATGGTGTCACATAGGTCTCTGAGTCTTACTCATTCACCAACACTTACTCCCCTCTTTTAATGTGTTTACCGTAGAATTGGGAGTAAGACTGTCTTGTTTTGCAACTCATATTATTGTGTTTTCAGTGTTCCATCTGAAATAGCTGTAATTTAAGTGTTGAGGAAAGGCCAGAGAAACAGCTCAATGGATTGTGCATGTGTTTTGCAAGTAAGAGACTACTGACATTCCCTGATTCTCTGAGCATCACCAGGAGCAACTTACAATATGGAGCTAGGAATAATTCCTAAGCATTGCTGGGTGTGATTATCCCCTTACCATAAATAATAAAAATAAGGAATAGACAAAAGAAAACTTTGGGAGAGTTAAGTCTTGGGAGCAATTCCTTTCTGAAAGATACTAACTGTCTTGGCCTGTGATATGTAAGTATATAGATATTTCCTTGAGATGTCCATGTAGTACTTAATGGTTTTGATAAGAATTCTGTCATCAGTTGTTCTCCCCAGAGTTTGAAGGTAGCATCAAATAATCTCTTCCTGTACTCAGAGACACTAGATATATGACATAGTTGATGACAAAACATAAAATTTCCACTAACTTTTTAAAATGAAATTTTGTAAACTAAATCAATTTTGTTTTCATTTGTAAAGGTAGCATTGACCTTTGGGGCTAGTGCGATAGTACAGCAGGTAAGGCATTTGACTTGCATGCAGCCGACCCAAGTTCGACTGCCAGCATCCCATATGGTCCCCCAAGCACTGCCAGGAGTAATTCCTAAGTGCATGAGCTGGGAGTAACCCCCTGTGCATCGCTGGGTGTGACCCAAAAAGCAAAAAAAAAAAAAAAAAAAGATAGCGTTGACTTTGAAAACCACGTTGAACAAAATAATATTGAAAAATTTCTTTAATACAAATGATGCTAAGAATATGTGATCATGTTTTAAAGTCCAATTCAATTTTTTCAAAAATGCTATTACATAAGATCTGTTTATATATGATATGTAAAAAGAAATCATACCTTGTTATAATATCCACCAAGTGTCTGTTGTACTCCTTGTATCCCAGGGGGTCCCTGTTTTAGAAACAAATAAAAGATAAAAAGGCAAATATTAACTAAATTATGCATATTTAAATAAGGTATGTGAGAACACTTGAAATCTTAGAGTTAGAAAAAAGAAGAGTTTTGTTTAATCAAATATTCTAATTAATAGTTATGTAAACATTCATTTGTCAGGTTCTTAAATATGCTTCCAAGTTTAATCCTGCATGAAAATAAAGAGAAGTCCTAAGTGGGAATGAATAAGATTTTACCTGAAGGTCAGATATAAATATATTCTTTGTTAAGAGAACTGTGACCATAAAAATGCTCCAGAGAAGAGGTAATAGCTTCGGTCTATGCTCGGTACTTCTCACTGAGCTTTAATCAATAAATTATAGAAATGTGTTTCTTATGAGTACTCTATTAGAAAATACGGGAAAACCTATTTTTTTTCTACAGCTTTCTCTTTTGAATAAACTGGGTGAAAATGGGGCATTTCAGATCAGAAAAAGCTGGCTGCTCAGCCTTAAAACATTTAAATACTTGTAGTTTTCAGTTCACTAAGCACAAGCATTGGATGGAGAGGAAAGAAGTGAAGACATCTGTCTGCCACTTAATCTTCCAGGAAGAGAGAGAGAGATGTTTTCTGAATATTTCGGAGATTACATTTTCGGGAGAGGACTATAAGAAAACACAAAGTTTAGCATTATTTTAAATGAAACAGTTCAGGTAAAGATATTTTCTGCTATCTCAGAAGGGAGATTGCCTATTTCATCCAGACTTCAAAATCCAGGAAGAGAGAAAATATAATAGAGGCAAAGTTCTTTATATTTTACTTCAGATGGTAAGACACAGAAGGAATATGACTGAGTAAAATAGACATCGCTGCATCACAAAGATTGCTTTTTAAAGGATAAAAGCTTAGAAGAAAAGAAACGTTTTAAGAAATAATTGCTATCAGTATTCACTGAAACAGGTAAACCTAAGGCTTATTGAAGAAAAGTTAATGTTGGTCAACATTTAGGTCAAGCATTCTTATGAACAGCCTATGATTGAAGATGTCGTCTAACGTGAAGTCTTTGCATCATGCCACTGAATGTAGAGGACACAAAGATGGGATGATGAATGTCTTGCAGCAAGTTGGTATAAAGCCTGAGAAAATAATAGGCCTCACGAGTAACTGTGATCGGAAAGACAAACGATTTTGTTACCGTGCTGAAATAAAAACAGCTAATGTCAGAACAAAATTCTCGTGGAATTATTTATTTCTCAAGTTCTTTCCCCATCAGCCAGCTTTGTGTGAAGTATTCTAGGACAGTTAGATGGAATAATTGGTAAAGCAATTATTGAGTGGGGGATTGTTAAACAAAATGACTAACCAAGAAGTTACAAGAGACTCATACTTAAAACTCAGGAGACATGAGACTCCATGCACATTGGTCTTTCTTTAAGTAATGAGACAGAGATAAATTTAAGACACTGTGATTTCATAGCATCAACAGATAGCTTAGGGATACATGCATATTTGGTGAATGGTAGAGTTATGTTAACAATAAGACCAATTAGATAAAAGAATAGTGATAGGTGGAGAAAACAGCTCCTGAGATACACATGCATCTTAAAAGAGTCTTATTAATGAGGGCTCCCAAATATAGCAGAATAATCAATAATGCAGTCTCTTAAAAGAAAATGGAGGAGCCAAATAATAATAGCCAAATAATAATAGAACCACTTATGTACCATTTCTTGAGTGCAAGATGTGATACCAAAGATTTTATATGGATTAATTAATTTAATTGCTACACTGATAGCATGAGATATGCACCATCAGTATCACCAAATCAAAGGTACAGAAAAGAGGGTCAAAAATTTCTACCTGGCATAAGACCATACCACCAGTTAATATTTAAAAACGGAAGGCTGACCATCAATTCTCATCTATTCTACCATACTATAGTAACTTAAAACCTGCAAAACATCCTAAAATGCTTCTTGTGGTAATTTTTTTTATCATGTTGCCCTTGCCTAGAGCATATTAGAAAACCACTTTTCCATGCTCAAATCACCATACTGAACACACACACATACACACACACACAATTTGTACAATTGATGCAGACTTAGCGATTCTTATGATACAGCAGGGGGTTCAGGCCAGGAGGGGGAGAAATAAGTACTTTATACTCATATGCAATCTTACTAGTTAGCAGAAAGAAACCTATCTATTCATCACATATTTCATCTCTCTTGATAGATTCTATCAACACATAATAGAAAAATCACTACTGAATATTTGAAGTAATTTCTCCCAAAATGCACCCTAAATTTGCAGAGTTTGGTAGAACAAGTAATTCACAGATACAAGAAATGGGATACCTCAAGAGTCTTTGAAAGGCAGAGAGGGGAAAAAAGTGGGAAATCACATGGTATGCATGGGTTACATGGCATAGAACAGGTAGCATATGGATAAGAATAGTAAGAAATAGTGATGACTTAAGATGTTGATGACTTATTAAAATAGTGGGTGAAAAAGTATAGTCGAAGTGACATCTGCAATTGTTTGTTCATTGCAGCATTCTATACAATTGCAGGAATCTGGAAGAAACCTGAGTGCCCGAGAAAAGATGACTAGTTAAAGAAACTTTGGTACATTTACACAATGGAGTAAAAGACAAAGAAAAGACGAAGTCATGAAATTTACATACAAGTGGTACTACATGGAAAGTATCATATTAAGCGAAATGACTCAGAAAGAAAGGGATAGACATAGAAAGATTGCATTCATCTGGGGAATATAAAATAACAAAATACGAGACTAAAACCCAAGAATGGCCAAGATTAGTACCAGGAATTTTACCCCATGGCTTGGAGGCCAGCCACACATGCTAGGGGAAAAGGGAGCTCACATAGAGAAAGGAGCACCAAATAAAGGGTGTTGGGAGTATCCTCCCAGGATGGGAGAAGCGTGCTGAAAGTAGACTATAGACCAAACATGATTGTCACCCATTGCCTCTTTTGCAAACCACAACACCCAAAAGGAGAGAGAGAACAGAGGGGAATGCCCTGCCACAGAGGCGGGGGGGATAGGGGGGATGGGGGTGGGAGGGATACTGGGACCCGTGGTGGTGGGAAATGGGCATTGGTGGAGGATGGGTATTTGATCATTATATAATTTAAACCCAAGCACAAAAATTTGTAAGTCTACAACTGTACTTTATGGTTTCTCACTAATAAAAAAAAATAGTGGGTGGGAATTTGGTTCAATCTTTTATAGACTGTCCAGCACGTATCTAAGAAATGGTGTAATCTGAGATGGTGATAAATGATTAAAAATTATGGTGAGAATTTGGCTTAATGTTTTATATACTTCCCGGAAAATATATCTATATTCCATAAACATTTTGCATATTTATATTTCTCGTATAGAATCTTTTTTTTTATGAGGTGTATTTGGTCCACACCTGTTGTACTCAGAGCTTACTCCACACCCTGCACATAAGGATCATTCCTGGGACTAAATATGGTGCTGGGGATTGAACCAAGGTTAACCTCTTGCAAGGCCAATGCCTTAACCCCTACTATTTCTCTGGCATCATTATCTAGACTCTTAAGTTTACTTTGATCATAACACTGGAGATTGTTCATTGCCTGTCTTACCCCTAAAAATTGTAATCAGATCATAACTCACTGAACAGAGTTAGTGGGCAATAAAAAACTCTGAACAATATTATTCAAATATCTGCAAGATTAATAAACCTGTGAAAGTTATTTTTGCATTTCCATATGTTCTGTTCTTGCCATAAAATACTATATTCACAAAGCAGTTGCTTCAAATGTGGTCAATTTGATATTTTGGGTTCTGCTGTTTAATTTCCTGATGAGCATTTATAATGACATTTTCTTTTTTCTCTTTTAGTTACTGAAATACTCTAGGTCTCAACAATTTCAATTTTAATATATTCAAGATTTATGGCTAATATTCTGCACTTTGGGTCATATTTTACACAAACCCTTGCAGAACTTTGAAGAAACCCCACAGTGGCTGAGAAAACACACCATAGCAGAGTCCTTGGGCTGTCAAATTGGATTACAGTCCGATTGCAATGACTCAAGGGTTGTCCTGAAACTGTCAGAAATCAAGAACTTCCATCAATGTGGGGATAGTGGTGTAGAGAAACACTTTGCATACGAATGCGAAGAGCCACTGTCTGTTTACTGATAGAAAAACAATATATATTCTGGAGTCCTGGTGGCTGTCCTACAGTCATATCCCAAGTGATATGCTATTTTTCTATTTTCAATTCTGGTACAAAGCATGGCTGGAGAAGATCCAAAGAGTCATTCATATCCAAATTTAGCATGAGCTGTCAGTCTTATAGATTATATCATCAATTCAAAGGAAGAAGAAGAAGAAGTTAATGGTTGTATTAAGTGACAGATTCAGATCCTGGGTGTCACATGATGCTAGTAGACACTCTAGGACACTTTAGAGGTCTTTTCTCTGAGATTTCCACTTGTAGGACACTTCAAGAATATGTGTAGATGACTCTGACTAAGGGGAGAAGAAAGGTCAGCTCTGGAGAGCATCTCAGTCTTGGAAGGGGAGATGAGTTCCTGAATACATTATGTATATATATATACATATATATATATTTAATTTTTATTAGTGAAACACCATGAGGTATAGTTGTAGACTTATAAATTTTTTGTGCTTGGGTTTCAGTTATACAATGGTTGAGTACCCATCCCTCCCCCGTGCCCATTCCCCAACTCCAATGCTCCCAGCATCCTTCCCACCCACCCCCACTCCCCCATCCCACCCCACCCCTGTGGCAAGGCATTCCCTTTTGTTCTTGCTCTCCTTTTGGGTGCTGTGGTTTGCAAAAGAGGCATTGAGTGGCTATCATGTTCGGTCTGTAGTCTATTTTCAGCACGTATCTCTCATCCTGGGAGGATCCTTCCAACACCCTTTACTTGGTACGCCCCTCTTTATCTGAGCAGCCTTCTCTCTCAGCATCTGGATACATTATATT